TTGTTGGGAAATTGTTGTGCGCTAATTGGATTCACAAGGGCACTCTGGATATATCCCTGGTACCCGTGTACCCAGTCCACCCCTGACCAAGGACCCATCGGTGCCTATTCAGATGGGTGTTAAAGAACCTATAACACTGTTCGAAAAGACAAGGAAGTTGCTCTTGGTGTTCTGGCCAACAATCCCACAGACAGAGTTATTCACTCCATTGTGGTTTGTCAAACATCACTGTGCACACGTTGGCTCCTGTATTCACTTACAAAACACACTTCACTGTGAATCCTGTGAAGTGCTTTGCGATGTTCTCCTGACATGAAAGGCACTTCTCAAATGTAAGGTTATTATTGTTGTTTTACTGTGAACATTGGAGTGAAGTTTCCATGTACAACACCACTATCTGCCGGCAGTAACACGGTACTGGAGGTTTATATATTTAACACTATATGTGGCGTAACTGTTATTTTAATCCACAGTAACTTTCAACAAATGATTCTATTCCTCAAATTACACCACAACATCCATCAGGAAAGACGAGGAAATGTTTAATCTATTTCTCTGTCTGTAATAAAGTGTTACCGCAGGAGTTTAAAATACTTGATTTTTCATACTTTTACCAGAATATATACAACTATACCGGGAAGGTCTTCAATTATGTGGAGAGACTATAGAGGCTGGACTTTTCTCCTTAGAGCAGAGAAGTGGAAATTTAATTGAGATGTTGAAAATTATGAAGGGTTCTGATAGAATAGGGAGAAACTGTTTCCTCTAGTGGGTGGTTTGGTAACCAGAGAACATAGATCAATAATAATTAACAAAAGAACTAGAGGGAAGATGAGTAGAATTTTTCAAGCTTTCCCACTGCTTTTTCAGCTAGGACAACAACAGCAACAACAAATTACATTTGCACAGTTGCATCCTTCACGTCGGGAGAACGTCCCAAGGTGCAAGACAGTCAGGGAGTTGGACCTGAAGAGGGTGTTGGGATCAGGAGTGATGGAGGGCAGAGAGAAGAGGGAGGAAGTGGAGGGAGGAATGAGAGGGCCCGAAGAGGGAGGTGGGGAGGGAGTGGTTTTAGGAAGGACCGAGTTAGCAGATTGTAATGAAGAGGTGTATGAGTGTTTTGGCCGCCTGAGATGTGAGGCAGTGGTAGACTCGGGCAAAGTTGCGGAGGTGGGGTAAGTCAGAGCGGGTCATGACACAGATGTGGGGGAGAAAGGACAGTTGAGTCGATGAAGGTGCCTCAGTTCCTGACTGGCTTGGTGAGGTGGAGTGTGCTTGGATAATGTTGCTGTCAGTGCCTGAGGTGTGGAGGCATTGGAGTGAGCCAATCAGTAGAGCCTTGTTCGTGCTGACGATCAACTGCAGAAAGTTGGCGCTCTTCCAGGACTTGGTGTCCAACAGGCAGTCTGTCAGGACATCATAGACCTGGGATCGAGGGTGGAGGCTGAGAGATAGAATTGGGTGTCATCCACATATATGTGGTATGATGTAAAGTGAAACTGGGTGTTGTGGCTTCGGAGAGGGGGGACGGTGATCCAATTTTTGGTGAGGAAGAGGATGTCAATGTATTTGACGACAATTAGTTCATGGATGTTAAGTGCTTTACTGGAGAGGGAACGGACATTTTGTAGGGTGTTTGGAGGGGACAGATTGCCGAGGAGTTTGAAGGATTGCGTGGTGGGGGAAAGGAGGAGAATTAACAGGAAGAGAGGGAATGTGAATTGAGAGATTAAAATCCGTGATCTGGGACCCACAGACCTTGTAGGGAAAGTGGGGGGATGGGGCTGTCAGGGTGACTGCTGGACAGCCAACGGCTTGTACCATAATGAGCCCGGTGGAGAATTCCCTGGAGCACAGGGAAGCTGTGGGATGGGCCTGGATGGAGAGGAAGCCGTGTGGGCGATAGGAAAATAGAAGCGAGCGGGAGTAACGCAGGATGTGCGACAGGGATGGGGGCATTTGGGGGATGGCAGCTCAGGTCAGGGAGGGGATCCGGGGCGTTGGGAACAGCGCTGATTGTTGGAAAGACAATTATGAGAAGGTTTGATAGAGAGAGAGGAGAGAGGACTGGAAAGGGAAGGATCGCTGTGAAGAGGGTGGAGTCGATTCCCACATTTCGTTGCAAAAGGCACCTCCACCTCTTGGAGCAGCTCAGCCCAAGGTCCCAGACACAAAGTGCAGCCAGTGACAGAGGCTCAGGTGGGTAACAATGGCGGGGGCTGGGAGCCACAATGCATCGCGCCAGAGAAAGCCCTCTATCTCAAGCGCTGGGCATCTCCACGCATGCGCTGCTCCGGCACTGCAGCGCTCGGCAAAGGAACGGGCAGTGCGCGTGCGCGGAGTCACGCAGAGATAGAGCGCTTTCATCCGCGCAGTGCATTATGGCTCCCGGGCACCGCCATTGCTGCTGTCCATTCCGGTCAGTGTCAGCAACACAAACCCCCGCACAGGCGGCGCTTCCTCTTGTCCCCGTCTCACACCCTCCCACTGTGGAAATGTCATGACTATTATTATTATTACCTTCTGATCCAGGCCCAGGGGGAAGATCACAGCCACAAAACTCCCAAACAAGCATTCTGCTGAATTCTGGGTCTGGACACAGCCCCAAAGCCTGAGAGTGACAGCGGTTTGTGGGAGTGAGCGGTGGAGGGGGACATGGCCGGCAGAGAGCAGGACCAGAGCTTAGCAGAGGATCTCACTTGCCCCGTTTGCCTTGACCTGTTCAACGATCCGGTTTCTCTGGTTTGCGGCCACTATTTCTGCCGCTCGTGTATCGCAGGCTGTTGGGAGAGGCAGGAGGCTCATTCCTGCCCGGAGTGTCGTCGGGCGTGTCCGGGAAGGGAGCTGAGAGCCAGTCGACCTCTGGCTAATCTGTCCGAAAGAGCTAGAAATCTGTCTGGATCCGAAACGGGGAGAAAGGGAACATTGTTGTGGTGATCATCGGGAAGAGCTGAAGCTGTTTGGTGAAACAGATAAGAAATTGATCTGTTTGATGTGTTTCTTTTCTCCCGAGAGACAGAATCACAAATCGCACAGCGTCATGTCGGTAGACAAAGCTGCTGAGATCTACAAGGTAAACAAGGAACACAGTCTATAACTTGACTGCTGTTCTCTCTTTCTTTCACCAGCCGAGTGTCTGAAACACACTGAAGCCCATTGCTGAGCTTAAGAGAATCTGAATATTGCCGTGTGTCCCCAGAGCGATGCACCCTGCTACAAATTCTGTAGAATATTAGGCATTAGTTGGCAAGAGCTAAGGCTTTGGTATCCCAGAGTATATGTCGAGATAGCTACTTAAGTTTAACCAGGTAAACGGCGTCACTGGTCATTGGGAGCGCTGTCTGACAGGCTGCCCCCTGCGTGTTCTCTCTGCTCACACTGATACAGTTAGAGATGTGTTGATTTCCACTTTGATTGCAGGAAAAACTGAAAACATCTTTCAATTTGGTTCTGAAGAGAAAAGACGCTGTTCTTCGAGCTGAATTTGAGCAAAAAGAGAAGATTTCTGCCGTGAAAGTAAGTTGCTGTGTGATAGGAGTCGGCCCACAGTCTCACCTCCGAGTTGGAAAGTTGTGGGATTCATCCCCACTACGGGCTCTCAGTCGTGTTTCTCTCTTTACCGTGTGATGTCTGGGCTCTCAGTCGTATTTCTCTCTTTACCGTATGATGTCTGGGCTCTCAGTCGTGTTTCTCTCTTTACTGTGGCCCGTTGTGATATCTGACGCTTCATTTTACAGAAACAGGCGAGCAGTCTGCAGAACAACGTCACGGCTGAGTTTGTTAAAATGTATCAGAGCCTCAAAGACACAGAGCAGCGTGTAATGCGAGAGCTCAGAGAGCGAGAAGAGGAGATTTTACAGCGAATGGAAGAAGCTTTCTCAGGGTTTGAAGAGCAGTTAAAATCTATTGACCGAGAATTAGCAATGTTACAGAACCGAATGGATGAACACGACTCGGGCTCCTTTCTGAGGGTAAGAAACAGAGATTATAATATGATAATAATTCTTGCATTTTATACGGCACCTTTGACTTCTGGAGAAGTTCTCAAAAGCGATTCACAGAATCCACTGTAAAGTGTAGTGACTGGACTTTGTAGGCAAATGCAACAGCCAATTTCCGCAGCAAAACAGTCCCCAAAACAGCCTTGAAGTGAACGACCAACTATATTTGGGAGAAAATCCCTTCACATTTCCAATCGTTTCTAGGATCTTTAACATCCACCTGAACAGGTGCAGACAGCACCTCGGGTTTATGTCTCATCCAAAATACACCTGACAATGCTGTGCACCTCCCAACTCTGTAAAACTAACAACGTAACAGAGTGAATTTCAGCTCAGCCCTTACATTCACCTACAAAACACACATTCCCTACTTTGTGGTAAATCCCATGAAGCGCTTTGAGACGTCCTCCTGACGTGAAAGGCTCTGTACCAAAAGCAAAGCTCCTTCTTCTTATCTTGGGTAAAGCTCCCCGAGTGAGCCACCGTGTGGAGATTATTCCGCAAACTGAGGGTTACCTGGCTGTGAACTCTGACCTCTCTGTATTTTGTTTCATTTCAGGAGGAAGCTTCTCGGAAGATCAGGTCTGACCTATTCATACAAACTGTTTCACTCATTAATGTCAAAGCAGTAACCACGAGATATTCATGTTAATCTGTTATCTTTGCAGCATCAGTGAAGTCTGGATTGAGCCATCAGTGGTACAAGGAGATCTGACTTTGGCAATACCCAAAGGGCTTTTGCAGCTCACAGTGTGGAGAGAAATGATCAACATGACCAGCCTTGGTAAGGAGATCCTACATCATCCCGCACCGTAAAGCCCTCACTGGGCGGCAGATGCAGAGTTGATTTGATCAGCAGTCGTGTGTCTATCACATGTTTAAACCCATCACCGCGCTTCAGAGTCTCCAAACCAGACTGAGTTCCGCAAACGTATGTCACCTTCGCAATGAAGTTTCCCTGTATCTGGAATGGAAACTATTAGTCAGAGGCTTGTAAGAGCCAAGGCTTGGGGACCCCTGATAGGGTGTATTGGTTGGGATAACTGCTGATGTTTAGCAGCAGTGCAGGCGCAAAGGGCCGAAAGGTCCATTTCCACCCAACACTAGATTTGAAGGTCTGGAGATCCGCTAAACTTCAGCATTGCTCACCATGTTCACCAGTGTCCTGACTGCAGGTCTCCAGGAGCTCATACACAGACAGAGAGACACAGGGACAGGGAAAGTCAAACACACGGACAGAGACACACGGACACACACACACACACAGATAGAGAGAGAGACACACACAGGGACACAGAAAGACACACACACACACAGGTAGAGAAAATCACACACCGACAGAGACACAAACACACAAAGAGAGAGAGACACACACTCGGGGACAGAGACAGACGCACTTTTTCACAGTGAATGACTTTCTATTGGCCCGGCCCAGGAGCCAGGGTGGCTGGCCTGCCATCAGCAGCCACTTTTGCAAAAGGAAAATTATTCAGTGTTTATATTAATCTCTCCACAATCAACAATCGCTCACTGTGTTATTTCTCTCTCTCAGCTCCGGCCTCTCTGACTCTGGATCCTGACACAGCTCATCCCTGCCTCGTCCTGTCTGAGGACCTGACCGGCGTGAGAGTCGGAGATAAACCGCAGCAGCTCCCTGACTCTTCGAAGAGGTTTAGTAAATATCTCTTTGTCCTGGGATCTAAGGGCTTCACATCAGGGAGACATTACTGGGAGGTGCAGGTGGTCAACAAGAATGTGTGGACAGTTGGAGTGGCCAGAGAGTCTATCAACAGGAAACAACGAACCACATGGTCACCAGAGGGTGGGGTCTGGGCTGTGGAGCTCGGGGGCAGGGGTTTTGAGGCTTTGGCCTCACCTCCCACCCGCCTGCCTCTGACAGTGATACCTGGGAAGATTGGAGTTTACCTGGACTATGAGGGGGGTCAGGTGTCGTTTTACAACGCTGATGACATGTCTCATCTCCATACTTTCACTAACACTTTCACTGAGAAACTTTATCCTCTGTTCAATCCTGGGTATTATATTGTAGGGAAAAATTCTGAGCCTCTGATAATCTGCCGGTCTCAGGATAAACCTGTCTCAGCCTGGCTCAGTCAGTAGTGCTTTGGCCTCTGAGTCTGATGGTTGTAGGTTCAAGCCACATGTTGGGGACTTTACACTCATTGCGCTCCAGTGCATTTGTGATGGTATTAGTGGGGCCTGGATGGGTCGGCTCAACAACAGCGACTTTCATTTATGTAGCGCGCGCTCACTCTGGGCAGTCGGTATCTTGTCTTGCCTGGCGTTCCACTCTCTGAATTATTCCCGCATTTTTTGTGAGCGGCAGCGCACGCGACCAAAGGTATAAACACTGGGTGATTGAGGCAGGCACAGCTGTATCCTGGTTATAAATTACACAGCTAATAATATGAAATCCATCAGCTAACCCTCCCAGCTCATCCCAAAAGTGCATTGCTTTGTTGTAATGTATTATGAGTCTGACTTAATGTAAGGCTTTGGGTTGTTGCCAATTGCGTGCTGGTGACCAATGAAATAGTATGATAGTCGCGGAACTGAGAGGAGATGCAGTGCAGAAGAAGAGCGGTTGACAGTATCAAAGGCAGCAGTGAGATCAAAAAGGACAAGGAGACAGAGAGAGCCCCAGTCACAGATGGAGACAATGTCGTTTGGAACTTTGACCAAGACTGTCTCTGTGCTGTGGGCAGCACCGAAACCAGGTTGGAGGGGTTCACACAGAGAATGGCGGGAGAGGAAAGAACAAAGCTGGAAAGCAACGACTCTTTCCAGGACCTTAGAGAGAAAAGGAAGGTTCAAGATGGGATGGTAGTTGGAGAACAGAGTTGGGTCAAGCGAAGGTTTTTTGAGGGTGGGCTTAACGGAGGCAGGGATCTCTCTCTCCCTCTGTTACGATCCTCCAGAGGATGGGGGAGAGGGAGGTAAGCAAATTCTCCTTGAAGCTGAACCGACTCCAAGGTGATATGCTTGGAAACCAAACATCAGTATCAGGTTAATCCTCTGTGGCTGTCTCAGTGGTCTGGTTCCAGAGCCAAGCAGGAGGAGCACTGGGGCATTCTTCCTATTCATCTCCTGTTAACTGTGCCAGGCAAAGCCCCATTGGGGCTGCAAACCAAAGCCCTCATGGGTAAGATTGCTTGAGCTGGACAAGCAGCGGGAAACATTCTTCTCAATCTACCATCCTGTGGAGGCGGGATTTGTTGCATACGATTCATAATTTCTAAAGGTACCTATTTTGTATCCTACCTTCGCAAACTATCTTATATAACCAGCCTGCTTCACAAAAATTTACTCTTTTAACGATTCCTTCAGCTTCAGAGATACCTTTAAATTATATTACAGTGGAATCTGCTTTTGCCCAGTCCTGGGTAAGCTCGGACATCTGGTAAATAAAATAAAATAACAGGCGCAGATTTGTTTGTATTCTTGTTTTAAATATACCTGTTAATTCAGATGAAAATCCAGTTAATCCGTGTAAAATGATGCGCTGGTCACCGCTGAATGTACTCACTCGATCTTCCTGTTCTCGAACCTTCAGCCGTGAGGGGTTCCCGGATGTCGATTGGAGTAGTGAAATTATGATCGACAGTGGTCTCCAGCCATTCACGAGTGACTGGAGTTGTGCTGTCAATCAGTGAGGGGGCAGAGCAACGGGGAAGAACACGGGAGGGAAATCGTGATTGACTGACAGCTGAGCCACATGTGATTGAGTGGAGAACATCCATTCACAAGTGGCTGCAGACAGTCAATCACCTGGAGCCTCCGCCAGTTGTTCTCCTTCCCATCCGAAGGGAATGGCAGTGGGAGGGAGGAATCCCCATCAGCGCTCCTCTGCTGGGCAGGAAAGCACTGACTGCACTGTATAACTGGCAGCCAAACAAAGTAAATATATTTTACTGAATTCTGTGAGTGTTTTAATGTTAACCGGTCAGTGAACATTGCTTCAAGTGAAACAGCATTATCAGGTATTATTATAAGGTGTCGGTGAGCTGCTCCGCTCGGCAGGAATGGTGTTCGGGTAACCTGGGACACCTCTTATATTGGACAAAATGTCCAACCAGCAACTACCCTCCCCACCCACCAACTGGTCCATCTGATAACCAGCTTCCACTGTAATTGTATTCAATTCTGTTGAATTCTGTTGATACCTATTTATACCCATTGACTGTTCAACAATATTTCCTTTTACTACTCAAACCCAAATAATCTTCAAATACTATTGACACTATTGACATCCGGTCGTCACCACAGATAACCGACGCCATCTCCTCCTCCTCGTGTGAAGCTCTTCCTGCGGGAGGTAAGACAGCAGCTGCCGGGACTCGCTCCTCGAGCACTGTCCGCCCTTCCCGCACTTGTGTGGTGTGTGCGGTAAACCAGTGACCCCCAGGACCCGCTGTGTGTGGCGGCCACTGTGTCCCTTCACACACTTCCCGCCTGTGGCAGGTGGTCAGACCGCGGCTCTCAGGCCCAGAGCCGTGTCCGGAGCCACTGCCTCCCGTTCCCGCTGTGTGTGTCAGTCTGTGTGAGGAGCGGTGACGGCTCCGCTGTCCTGTCACAGCCTTTGTGCTTCTTCTCTGCCCAGTTTCCCACCTTCAGCGGCTCCCACCGGTGTGTGGAGTGTGTGGTGTCGGTGTGCGGTCACTGTGTGTGTGTGTGTGTGTTGGGGTCCGGGGGGGGAGCGCGGGGTCGGTCCTCCGCTCCTCACTTACCAACTCTCGCGCTCTTCTCGGGTCCTGACCCCCAAAGCGCTGTCACGCGGTGTCGGCACATGCGCACTGTTCCCGCCGTCTCCGTCTCGCGCGGCCCCGCCTTCCCGCGCGTGCGCGCTGTGTCCCGTCTCCAACCGTCACTCGGTCCCGCGCTCCCGCGCTTTCCCGCCGGGGACCGGACTCGGGAAGGTGCGCATGCGCGGGGGGAGGGCGGGAACATTCCAGAAGCGCCGAAGGTCAGAAAAGCGCTCGAGCGACGGTCCCTCTGACACCTCCGCCCCAACTGGTGAGAATATGGTATAAAGTCACTATAGTCAACAGCAATGGCACATATACTGTTATATTCATTACATATTCAGTGGGAAATCCTTTCATTGAAGATTCAATCACTTATTGTATTTAATGACATTAAATACATTATTATTATCTGTGACTATCAACAGCTTCACATCAAAGGGGTTTTCTACACCAACACCGAGATTCCCAACTCGGCGGCCGTGTGGCCATGAGCCCCGGGGGGTGAGGGTCAGGGGGTGAGGGTCAGGGGTGTGTGTGTCGGGGTGAGGGTCAGGGTGTGAGGGTCAGGGGGTGAGGGTCAGGGGTGTGTGTGTCAGGGGGTGAGGGTCAGGGGGTGAGGGTCAGGGGTGTGTGTGTCGGGGTGAGGGTCAGGGGTGTGAGGGTCAGGGGTGTGTGTCGGGGTGAGGGTTAGGGGTGTGTGTGTCAGGGGGTGAGGGTCAGGGGTGTGTGTGTCAGGGGGTGAGGGTCAGGGGTGTGTGTCAGGGGGTGAGTGTCGGGGTGAGGGTCGGGTGTGTGTGTCAGGGGGTGAGGGTTAGGGGTGTGTGTGTCGGGGTGAGGGTTAGGGGTGTGTGTGTCAGGGGGTGAGGGTCAGGGGTGTGTGTCAGGGGGTGAGTGTCGGGGTGAGGGTCGGGTGTGTGTGTCAGGGGGTGAGGGTTAGGGGTGTGTGTGTCAGGGTGTGTGTGTTGGGGTGAGGTTCAGGGGTGAGTGTCGGGGTGAGGGTCGGGTGTGTGTGTCAGGGTGTGTGTGTTGGGGTGAGGTTCAGGGGTGTGTGTCAGGGGGTGAGGGTTAGGGGTGTGTGTGTCGGGGTGAGGACGCGGTGTCGGCACATGTGCACTTTTCCCGCTGATCCTGGTCTCTGTCTCGAGCTTCCCCTCCTTCCCGCGTGTGTGCGCTTTGTCTTTCTCCAACTGTCACTCGGCTGTCGCTTGTGCGCTTTTCTGCCGGGGTCCAGGCTCGGGAAGGTGCACATGCACTGGGGGAGGGCGAGGAACATTCGAGAACAACAACAAAATTACATTTGTGAAGCGCGTTTCACGTCAGGAGGACGTCCCAAGGCGCTGGACAGAGAGAGTTCCAGACCTGAGCTGGTGGTTGGAGTCAGTGAGGGTGGAGAGCAGTGGGGGAAGCGGAGACATCAAAGGCACGATCAAAAAGGTGTTCTTCTCCACCATCTCTACTCTCAGCTCTACTGTCATAGTTCTGCCTTTGCTTGGCTTCAATTTTACCTTTCCCACTGTCTGCGCTTTGTATCCACCAACACCAGAAGAATGCAAACAATTGGAGACTAACGACATTGTAGAGAAATACTGTTGGGATAGAGGACTGATGAAGGGATAACCTACAATAAGGGTAAAAACAAATGGTCAAACTGTTCATAAAGCCCTTTAGACGATGCCTGAAGCAACGAAAGAGAGGTCAAAAGAATCATTAAACAACATGGAAAAGGATTAGATGACTGACTGAATGAGTGCTTTGGTGGTCCTGGGACCCACTGCAGTTCCTCTTGTCACCACCAGAAGGCGGCAGCACCACCTCCGCACAGCAATGTCTCCACTTATTAGACTTGAAGTTTACATTCAATAACTTGCATTTATATAGCGTCCTTCACACGGGGCAGCGTTCCGGAGCGCTTGACAGCGGTGGAGTCTGACCCCAGTCCAGGGAGAGAGGGAGGGGGGAGGTGACGGTGAGCGCAATCAAAAAGTAAGGTCTTTAGATGGGATTTGAAAGTGAGGAGGGAGGGGACAAGGGGCGGAGGGACTGAGGGAGGGATCCAGAGCTTCCGGGGCGCAGCAGCTAAAAGCACTATCAGTGACATTCATAGTGATTTAGGCGATTCATTGATATGATTTCTCCGGTCGGTTCTTTATTCGCACAATTATGTAATGCGCAGAGAGTGTACATTTGTGCAATTTCCACTTTACAATTATTTGCAATTATCCCAAAATGTATCCAGTTTGTACATTTCCATATCTTTGCTGAACATATCACTTTACTCTCAATGCCATTGTCAAGTAAAGGTGAAAACTTCTGACAAGATCACGCTGCCAAGCTCGGCAGATTGACACCCACCCAAATTTCCCATGTTCCAGATAAGCGGCCTGTAAAATTTAACCACTTCACCCCCGGATACATCAAGTATATGCGAAGTTCCCGCCCAGACCATAATAATCCCTGTTTTTGATTTCGGGCTAAATCACATCATCGAAACGTCTCAAAAAACTTCACACGATTTTACATTAAGAGTAATATGATACAATGTGTTTTGCTCACCCATAAAACACACAGTCACTGCACCTTGCAGTGTATCCTGGGATGTCATCCCAAAGTGAAAGCTGCTTTTCCAAATGTACGGATTTTTATTATTATTCCTGTCATACAATTTACACTTATAAAGAGCTTTCACGTCAGGAGGTTATCCCAAAGCACTTGATTGCACACAAACAGCCATGAAGGAAATGACCAATCTTATTTGGGGGATTGTTGGCCAGAACACTGGGAGAAACTCGCTTCCCCTCTTTGAACCGTGGGATCTTTCATGTCCACTCCATCTAAAGGAGGGCAACTCTGACAATGCAGAGCTTCCCCCAGGACTGCAACAACAACAACAAGATTACATTTGTATAGTGCCTTTCACGTCGGGATGATGTGCCAACGTATTGGACCGCACTGGAGTCACTGATCTTAAAATCCCCGACGTGGGGATTGAACCCACAATCTTCAGACTCAGAGGCCAGAGCGCTACTGACTGAGCCAGGCTGAGACAGGTTTATCCTGTGACCAGCAGATTGTCAGTGGCTCAGAGTTTTCCCCATCATTATTATACCAGGGACAGAAGAGAGGATAAAGTCTCTCAGTGAAAGTGTTCATGAAAGTGTGGAGATGAGACATGTTGTCAGCATTGTAAAATGACACCTGTCCGCTCTCATAGTCCAAGTAAACTCCGACCTTCCCGGGTCTCTCTCATGGGCAGGACAGTGGGAGGTGAGTTCAGAGCCGCATAATCCCCACACCACAACCGCACAGTCCAGACCCCACCCTCTGGCGACCATTTGATTTGTTGCTTCCTGTCAATGGACTCTGTGGCCAATCCCACAATCCACTCAGTCTTGTTGCCCACCTGCACCTCCCAGTAATGTCTCCCTGATGTGAAGCCCTCAGATCCCAGGACAATGGGATAGTAACTGAACCTCTTCCAGTTGTTACCGAGCTGCTGCTCATTTTTTTCCCCGAATCTCACACTGGTCAGATCCTTAGACAGGATAAGCCAGCGATGGGCTGTGTCAGGATCCAGAGTCAGACGGGCCGGAGCTGAGAGAGAGAGAAAAAACACAGTGAGTGATTACTTTGATTGGGGAGAAATTGATTTTAACACTGAAGCAGCTGCTCGTGATAGACCAGCCACCCTGGTTCCAATAGAAGATCGCACCTCTCTGCTCCCACGAATACCAGTAAGTGGTTTGCTCGGCCCCAGGCCTCTGTGCACGTGACTGGTGTAGCGGCTCTGGACGTGTGTGCGTGGTGATGGGGGTTGGGATGGTGGCAGCACTGCAGGTGGGAAATGGGCTTCACTGGCTGGTGACCACTGCCTAGTGCCTGGCTTTAAGGAGCCGCTGTGGGGCGCGCTGTCTGTGTCTCGCTCCTCTGTCTCTCAGTGTGTCTCTCTCTGTCTGTATGTGGTTCTGTGTGACCATATCTTTCTTCAGGAAAGGTATATTGGCCCTGGAGGGGTGCAGCACAGGTTCATGTTACCAGGTCTTAAAGGGTTAAGATACGAGGATAGGCTACGTAAACTTAGATTGTATTCCCTTGAGATTAGAAGGTTGAGGTGTGATTGGATTGAAGTGTTTAGATGGTGAAGGGATTTGATAGAGTAGTTACAGAGGAGCTATGACCTCTGTTTGGGGAATCTAAAACAAGGGGCATAGTCTTCAAATTAGAACCAGGCCACTTGAGAGTGAAATCAGAAAGCATTTTTTCACTCAAAGGATGGTAGAAATCTGGAACTCTCTCCTCCAAAAGACTATAATAATAATAATCCTTGCATTTGATATAGCGCTTTTCACGTCTTCTCGACGTCTCAAAGCGCTATGGATCTTAATCCATCCACACCGTCAAGTGTGAGGTTGGTAGATTTTTGGTGGTCAGGGTATCAAGGGATATGGGGAAAAAGCGGGAAATTGGAATTGACAGGATGAGTTGAGGAACAGATCGGCCAATTGAATGGCAGAACAGGCTTGAAGGGTTCAATGGCCCACACCTGTTCCTGTGTTCATTTGTGTGTCTGTATCTGTATGCCTTTGTCTCTGTGTTTGTGTATGTCTGTGTGGCTCTCTTTGCTTGTGTGTCTCTCTCTCTCTGAGGGTGAATCTGTATGTGTCTTTCTCTGTCTGAATATTAGTCTCTCTTGGTGTGTGTATCTCTCTCTCGCTGAGTATGCATCTGTGTGTGTGTCTCTCTGTATCTGTGAGTATGTGTCTCGCTCTGTGTTTGTGAGTGTGTGTATCTCTGTGTGTCTGAGAATATCTCTCTCTGTGTCTTTGAGTATGTGTCTCTCTTTGGATGAGTGTCTGTCTGTGTGAGAGCCCCGAGAGGCAGGAGGTGGTGACATCCTGGAACCCAGTCAGGACTGGCGAGACACAGGAAAATTTCTATGTGTAGGTGGAATATATGTTTCCTTACTCCACACAGAGCCTAATAATAATCCCTCCAAAACCAAAAACAATAATAAATTGGTCATTTTCAATCTACGACTGTTGGTGGGACATTGCTGTGCGCAATTGGCTGCCGCGTTTGCCCACACATATACAGTCAATTCACTTTACAGTGTATTCTGTGAAGCGCTTTGGGACGTCCTCCCGACGTGAAAAGCGCTATATCAAATGCAAGGATTATTATTATTATATGTGGAACTCTCAGACTGGTTCAGAGACTCAGAAGAGTACAACAACAAATTGGATTTATATAGCGCCCTCCATGCCAGACGGTATCTCAGAGCGCTTCACAGTAACGGATCCTGGGACCGAGCCAGTGGGAGAGGAAGGAAGGTGACCAAAGGCGCGGTCAAAAAGAAAGGTCTTCAGCAGAGACCTGAAAATAGGAAGGGAGGGAGCGAGACGAAGGGAGTGAGGAAGGGACTTGCAGAACTTCGGGGCATAGTGGCTGAAGGCACGGCTGCTAAGGGTGGAGCGGAGATCTCGGGGGACCAGGAGGAGGAGTGATGGGTTTCCACCTGTGTCAGACACCCGGCTTCTGAGCAAAAACAATCGCCTGCATCTACCACACAGTGAGGTCTTTATAGTGAAGGATGAGGCAGGGACTGTTTACCAAGGCTGATTGTGTGGATCATTTCTCTCCACACTGTGAGGCCTTTGGGTATTGCCAGAGTCAGATTTCCTTGTACCACTGATGGCTCTATCCATTCTTCACTGACACTGCAAAGATGACAACAACAACAAACAAAAAATTACATTTACACTTCAAAAACATGTCCCAAGGAGCTGGACAGTCAAGGTTTTACACCCGAGCCAGAGGTTGGAATCAAGAGGGTTGGAGAGTGGCCGAAGAAGGTCTTGAGATGGGCCTTAAAGGAGGGGAGGGCGATGGGGGGATCTGGGTTGAAGCAGACAGACAGTGTTAATAGGTCACAGAGGTAGGGAGGATCAAGATCTTGGAGGGCATTAAAAGGGAGGGAGGGAGGGAGGGGTGGGGTCCGGACGGGGACAGGGGAAGGTGAGGAGGGGGTGGTGGCAGAAAGGTCACAGGCAGCAGAGTGAATCCTCTCTGACATATTAACATGAACATCTCGTGGTTACTGCTTTGATATTATTGATTGAATCAGTTTGTATGAAGAGAACGTCAGACCTGATCTTCCGAGAAACTTCCTCCTGAAATGAAACAAAACACAGATTGGTCAGAGTTCACAGCCGATAACCCTCAGTGGAACAATCTCCACACGGTGGCTCACTCAGGGAGCTTTACACAAGGTAAAAAGAAGGAGCTTTGCATTTGGTACAGAGCCTTTCACATCGACAGGATGTCTCAATCACTTCACTGGATTCACCATAAAGTGTAGTGACTGGGTGTTTTTGTAGGCGAATGTAAGGGCTGAGCTGAAATTCACTCTGTTTCGTTGTTTGTTTTGCAGAGCTGGGGGAGCACGGAATTATCAGAGGTGCCGTCCTTTGGACGTTAACCCGAGGTGTTGTTTGAGTCTGTTCGGGTGGACGTTAAAGATCCCAGGCACGACTGGAAACATGAAGGGAGTTCCTCACAAATACAATTGGTCATTCACTTCATTGCTGTTTGTGGGACACGTTCTGTCCAAATTCGCTGTTGTGTTTGTCTACAAAATACAGTCACTACACTTTACTGTGAATCACTTTGAGACATTAAAAGGAAATTAAAGGTGCTATATAAAATGCAAGGATTATTATTCAATAAATAAAAACAATCTCCTTTTCTTACCCTCAGAAAGGAGCCCATGTCCTGTTCGTCCATTTGCCTCTGTAACGTTGCTAATTCTTGGTCAATAGATTTTATCTCCTCTTCAAACGCTGTAAAAGCTTCCTCCATTTGGTGTAAAATCTTCTCCTCTCGTTCTCTGAGCTCTCGCACGACACGCTGCTCTGTGTCATTGAGGCACTGGTGCATTTCAACAAACTCAGCCGTGATATCGTTCTGCAGACTCCTCGCCTGTTCCTGTAAAATGAGGTGTCCGACATCACAACGGGCCACAGTAAAGAGAGACACAACTGAGAGCCCAGACAACACGGTAGAGAGAGACACGACTGAGAGCCCAGACATCACACAGTAAAGAGAGCGACACGACTGAGAGACCATAGTGAGGTTGGATTCCACAACACTGTGGCTCATAGGTGAGAGTGCAGGCAATCACAACAGAGTGCAGTCTATCACACAGCAACTTACTTTCAGGACAGAAATCTTCTCTTTTTGTCCAAATTCAGCTCGGAGAACAGCATCCTTTCTCTTGAGAACCAAATTGAAATATGATTTCAGTTTCTCCTGCAATCGAAATGGAAATTGAACAAAACAAACACATTGTTAAACGTGTCAGTGTGACCAGAGAACACACAGCGGGAAGCCTGACAGACAGCGCTCTCAAAGGCCAGCTATGCCGTTTAACTGGTTAAACTTAGTAGCTCCTCCGACACATACTCTGGGATACACAAGCCTTGGCTCTTGTCGGCCTATGCCAAATACTCAACTGATTTGTAAACAGGGTGACACAGGGCAATATTCCGTGTGCAGCAAATGTATCATAGAATCATAATTATCATAGAATCACAGCACAAAAGGAGGCCATTCAGCCCCTCATGTCTGTGAGAAGAGCTATCCCAATCAATCCCACTCCCTCATTCTCTCCCCATAGCCCTGAAAACTTGTCCTTCCCAAATAATTATCTACTTCTCTTAAAAGTTGTTATTGAATCAGCTTCCACCACCCTTTCAGACAATCATTCCAGATCCTAACAACTCGCTGTGTGAAAAATCTCTCCTCCATTTCTTGTAACTATTATCAAACTGTCCTCGGGTTACTGACCCCCCACCCCCGCCAATGGAAATAGTTTCTCCCATGTATCCCAATCACCGCCTGGTTTGGATTCTCTTAAGGACAGCAATAGTTTCCACATGTGTCAGACACTCGGCTCAAGAAAGAGAGAATTTCAGTAATATTATAAAATCCGCTCCTTGTGTACCTTGTAGATCTCAGCAGCTTTGTCTATCGACATGACATTGTGTGACTTGTGATTCTGTTCCTCCGGATAAATCAGACACATTAAACAGATCAATTTCTCATCCGTCTCACAAAACAGCTTCAGCTCTTCCCGATGATCATCACAATAATGTTTCCTTTCTCCCCGTTTCGGATCCAGACTGAGATTCCGAGCTTTTTCAGCCAGACTGGCCAGAACTCGATTGGGCTTCAGCTCACTTCCTGGACACAACTGGCGACACTCCGGACAGGAGTGAGCCTCCTGCCTCTCCCAAAACCCTGCGATACACGAGCGGCAGAAGTTGTGGCCGCACAACAGATAAACCGGATGCCGGAACAGGTCAAGGCAAACGGGGCAAGTGAGATCCTCTGCTAAGCTCTGGTCCTGCTCTCTGCCGGCCATGTCCCCCTCCACCGCTCACTCCCACAAACTGCTTTCACTTTCAGGCTTTGGGGGTGTGTCCAGACCCAGAGTTCAGCAGAAGCTGCTTGTTTGGGAGTCTTGTGGCTGTGATCTTCCCCCTGGGCCTGGATCAGCGCCGCCTGTGCGGGGGTTTGTGTTGCTGACACTGACCGGAAGGAACAGCAGCAATGGCGGTGCCCTGAGGCCACAATGCACTGCGCGGGTGAAAGCGCTCTATCCGACTCTACCCTTTTTCTCTGACTCTCTCTCACTCCTCTCTGATTCTCTTTCACTCTCATGCACTCTCTCTGACTCGCTCTCACTCCCTCTCACTCTCTCCCTCTCTGACTCGCTCTCACTCCCTCTCACTCTCTCCCTCTCTGACTCGCTCTCACTCCCTCTCACTCTCTCCCTCTCGCTCACTTCACCCAGTTGTTGGTCGATTGCTGGGTCACTTTTCCAGGGAAAATAATCCCTACAACAATAATAATAATGTGGTTATTTCAATCCATGACTGTTTGTGAGGACGCAGCTGTGCACAATCAGCTGCTGCACTTCGCCCACAAAATATACAGTCACTACACTACCCTAGAGTATATCTTGTGAAGCCCTTTGAGACACCTTGAATAAGTGGTAAGTCGCTATATTAAATGCTAGGATTATTGTTAATGTTATTCTCTCTCTACATATCAGATTGGGCTCTTGTCGAGCGTGGGTTCGATGCCCAAGCGGCGAAACCTCAGGCAACTTTCCTTACTCTACATGCCTCTGTTTACCAAGCAGTACATAGCAACCATTTTAGTCGCATTCTGTGGGGAATAATCCCTTAAAAAAAGAATTTGGACACTGCATTTGTGGGACACCTCTGTGTAATTGACTGCCACAGTCAATTCACTTTACATGATATTGTGTGAAGCTCTTTGGGACGTCTGAAAGATGTGATAAGGTGCTATGTCAAATGTAAGAATTATTATTACATTCAGGTCTTGACTCCTGTCACCCACCTCACCTGCTCTCTCTCTTCGGCCCTTCCACAGACTTCCCTCTGCTCCAGCCCTGGGCCTCCTCCACCCGGAGCTCCGCAACACTTGACAATGGTTGTCCCAGAGCAGCCACCCCGACTGCCCCATCATCACCGCACTGCAAGGGCTGCCTCCCCTACCTCCAACAGCTAAACCCACCCCTTCTCTCACTTCCCACATCCTTCCCAACTGAATTAAAAAAGAAATAACTTGGTCACTCAATCCAAGAGTGTTTGTGGTTCAATGGTGTATGCATTTGACTGCCATACTCTGCTCACAAAATACACAGTCAATGCACTTCACAGTTTATTCTGTGAAGCCCTTTGAAATTTGGAGTCCTGTAGCTCAGTGGTTAGAGCACTCGCTTTGCAAGTGAGAGACCTGAGTTCAATTCCAGGCAGAGGGCGAAACCTTGGGCAAGTTTCCTTACTCCACACAGAGCCTAATAATAATCCCTCCAAAACCAAAACAATAATAAATTGGTCATTTTCAATCCACGACTGTTTGTGGGACATTGCTGTGCGCAATTGGCTGCCGCGTTCGCCCACAAATATACAGTCAATTCACTTTACAGTGTGTTCTGTGAAGCGCTTTGGGACGTCCTCCCGACGTGAAAAGCGCTATATCAAATGCAAGGATTATTATTATTATTGTCAAAGACATATAAGACACTATATTAAATGCAAGGAATATTATTAATTCTCACCCCTCATAATTGACAGTCGTTTTCCCCCAAACCCTCCCCCACCAGCTCCCCTATTAGCATCCCCCTCCAAAATGTTGGCTCCTTCACAGTTTTCACTATCCACCGCCTTCACCTGTCTGTGAAGCACTTTGAGATGTCTCAACACTATGATCAGGCGCTGTATCAAATATACAGATTATTTTTTATCATTAACTTGTATCACTCTCTCAAACAGCGCATCTGCGTCTGCGTCAACATGACCGGCAGCGACCGGCGCAAACTGCTGGTCATTGCTGTATGAATGGGGTCAACCTCACTGTTCTGCCCATCACCTGTAAGGCCAATAAGATGACGAGAGGGATCTTTAAGGAGTGGCTGACGCAGTGGGACACAGAGCTGGTCGAGCAGGGGCATAAGATTCTTGTTTTCATGGACAGCCCACCGTGTCACCTGCCCATTCCGACCTCGAGAACATCTGCCTGGAGCTGATACCCCGGACACCACTCTGATCCAACCCATGGGTCAAGGAGTCATCCGAAACCTGAAGCTCTCCTACCGCAAGGAGCTACAAAAGCGCCTCCTGGACGCCATCGAAGGCAACGTGATCAGCCCCCACGCCACGGTGGGAGAGGTGGTGAGACACATCAGCCTACTGGATGCCATCGGTATGGTTGCCAGCGCCTGGGAGAGCATGAAGTCTGCGATCATATCCGACTGCTTCGCAAAGGCCGGGTTTGTGACTGGTGACGCTGCTCCCTGCACTGAGGCTGAGGGGAGGACAAGCGCAGAGGCCGAGGGCGAGAGGCAGATCACTGACCAGTTCCTGGACATTGACACTGATCTACTCCGCCGTGATCCCCAGGACCACGAGGCAATCGTGACTGAAGCTGTGGCCGCCGAGCGCTTGCTAGTCGAGAACGACAGTGACAGCGACTCTGAGGAGAACGACCCCGTCTGTGACGGCCGGCACAGCTCTGACCGGCCTGCGAGAGGCAGAAAGCTTCTTACTAAAGAGCGGACTCTACGGCAAGTGTTCGAACGCACTTCATGACATTGTTACGAGCATCAGAGAGAGACGCCACACTGATCTGGTGCAGTCTGACTTGAGAGAAGTTTTCAATAAGTTTAAATTTCTGTAAATTTTTCTCCCTTTTTCTGGAAATATTGTTTATAAAGAGACAATTGCTCTTTTTTGCTTGTGAATGATACTGAGCTTTCTGTTCAGGCCTTCACATACCAGTAATTGGTATCAGTGCCTTGGGACGTCCTCCTTGCTCCTTAAGCAAGTTTCCTTACTCCACAACCCTCTGTTTATCAAGCACGAAGTGGGAGCACAGTCATTAGGTGATCGGTGGATCACTTTACTGGGGTAGTAATCCCTTAAAAATAATAATAATTTGGTCACTCAATCCGTGAGACACTGCTGTGTTCAATTGCTCTAATCTCAAAGCGCTTTATAGAATATATTGTAAAATGCAGTGACCGTGTATTTTGTGAGTGAAATACAACAGCTAATTGTACACAGCGATGCCCCTCAATAGCCATGGAGTGAGTGACGGATTTTATTCGGGGGATTGTCAGCCAGGACAATAGGAGTGAGAGAGAGAGAGGAGAACCCTTTTTGTCTTAGCGAATAGAATTGCAGGAGATCTTTAACGTCCATCTTTACAAACAGATGGCAGATCCGTTTAATGTTTCAACCAAAGAACGGTGCCTCTGACAATGCTAAACTCCCCAGCGCTGCAGTGAAGGGTCACGTTAGACTCTGTGATTCCATGTCCTGATGTGAGGCTTAAACCCCCAAACTTCTGACTGAGAAGTGAGAGCTCCAGCATCCGAGGCAGTGTGACACACTGTGCGACACACACACACAAATATCTCTGGTATAAACTGTTTAATAAAATAATATTCACAATCCCGCTGCTGACACATTGACATACATTCACAACAGATCATTGGAGCAAAACATACATAGAATTAAACAATCTTACAGCACAGAAGGAGTCGATTCGGCCCATCGAGCCTATGCCAACTCTTTGAATGAATTACCAAGTAGTCCCTCTCTCCTTTCCTTACACCGGCAATTTTTTGCTTTTTAAGTACATAGAATAAAAACCCAAATCAGTTCTAAATTGACTTCTTACAACATTATAGAATATCCAGACTTTGACAAACTTGACAACAATCTCAATTTGACAACGGGTTTTCTGGAACGAGAATTCACAGAAAGTACAGCTGCAAAATTAAGGTTTTAGGTGTTTTTAAGAATTAGCCAAATTCCGTAACGCTCTGAAATGTGATGTAGATAGAGAAAGCCCAAGTAATACAGTTTTTACAGCAGTCACTAAACTTCACAGTGAAATCCCGTGTAGCGCCTTGCAATAATAATAATAATCCTTGCATTTGATATAGCGCTTTTCACGTCGGGAGGACGTCCCAAAGCGCTTCACAGAACACACTGTAAAGTGAATTGCAATGTCCTCGAGACGTCAAAGCCTCCAATTGTGGCAATAATAATCCTTCCATTTGATATAGCTCCTTATCACATGGTTGAGTCATGTCAAAGTGCTTCACAGAATATACTGTAAAGGGCTGTGACTGTATTTTCTGGGTGAAATGCAGCATCAATTATACACAGCAACATCCCACAAACAGTGCTGGATTGAGTATCAAATGCAAGGAATATTATATTCCACGAAAACGTCAAGTAAAGTCCTCCCATATTTACAGAAACCTGCCCTGCTGCAGTGTGTACAGATATCTGGCATGAAGCTGTATATAGATATGTGTGGCTGTCTACAAACTTATCATTTAAACACATATATATATACATACATAGATATAACCAAGTGTCCGAAGGTGGGAAAGATTATCATCTGAGCATGTGCCAAAGTGGCAGGAAGTTCATCGGCGACGTTCAATGCACTTCCTCCACGGTTGGGCCCGTAGATGGACAGCTCTTGCCCGATTGCTCGCTCCCCGCTGCCCCTCCCTGCCTCAGCCTGGCCATGACAGGACTGCACACCCTCTCCAGCTCCTTCAGCTGGTGCTCAAACTCTTCCTTCTCCGCCGTCTGGTTTCCATCCAGCCAGGCAATGACCTGTCTGCACTTGTCCAGCGCCTGCCTCCTTTCCTCCTCGCCCACCTTGCCCTCTGTGCTCTTGTCCTCCATTGCACTTTTGGCTGCGTAGACGAACGACTCCAGCCCGTTCTTGGCCGCCACCCTCTCCCGCTGCAACTCGTCATCCACCTTGTAGTTCTCGGCCTCTTGCACCATCCTCTCGATCTCCTCCTTGCTCAGCCGACCCTTCTCGTTGGTGATGGTGATCTTGTTCTCCTTGCCTGTGCTCTTGTCAGCAGCCGAGACATTCAGGATACCATTGGCATCGATGTCGAAGGTGACCTGGATCTGCGGAACCCCACGGGGGGCCGGGGGGATGCCACTCAGCTCGAACTTGCCCAGGAGGTTGTTGTCCTTGGTCATGGCTCTCTCACCCTCATACACTTGCACCAAGACGCCGGGCTGGTTGTCGGAGTAGGTGGTGAAGAACTGGGTCTGTTTGGTGGGGATGGTTGAGTTCCTCTTGATGAGGGCGGTCATCACGCCTCCCGCCGTCTCCAGCCCCAGGGACAGAGGAGTCACGTCCAGCAGGAGAAGGTCCTGCACGTTCTGAGACTTGTCGCCCATCAGGATGGCGGCTTGCACAGCCGCACCATAAGCCACTGCCTCATCTGGGTTGATGCCCTTGTTCAGCTCTCGGCCGTTGAAGAAATCCTGCAGAAGCTTCTGGATCTTCGGGATGCGAGTGGAGCCACCGACGAGGACCACATCTTGGATCTGAGACTTGTCCAGCTTCGCGTCAGTTAATGCTTTCTCCACTGGCTCCAGGGTCCCTCTGAACAGGTCCCCATTGAGCTCCTCAAACCGTGCCCTGGTGATGGAGGTGTAGAAGTCGATGCCTTCAAAGAGGGAGTCGATCTCAATGCCGGCTTGGGTGCTTGAAGACAAAGTCCTCTTTGCCCTCTCACAGGCTGTCCTCAGCCTCCTGACCGCCCTCTTGTTCTGGCTGATGTCCCTCTTGTGTTTTCTCTTGAACTCCTGGATGAAGTGGTCAACCATGCGGCTGTCAAAGTCCTCGCCCCCCAGGTGGGTATCACCGGCCGTGGATTTGACTTCAAAGATCCCACCATCAATGGTGAGGACGGACACGTCGAAGGTGCCCCCACCCAGGTCGAAGATCAGGATGTTCCTCTCCCCGTGGCCCTTCTTGTCCAAGCCGTATGCGATGGCAGCTGCCGTGGGCTCGTTGATTATTCGGAGGACATTGAGCCCTGCTATCACTCCGGCATCTTTGGTGGCCTGGCGCTGGGAGTCGTTGAAGTAAGCGGGCACCGTGATGACAGCGTTGGTGACCTTGGAGCCCAGATAAGCCTCAGCGATCTCCTTCATCTTGGTTAGAACCATAGAGGAGATCTCCTCAGGGTTGAAAGTCTTGGGCTCTCCCTTGTACTCAACCTGCACCATGGGTTTTCCCCCCTGGCTCAACACCTGGAAAGGCCAGTGCTTCATGTCCGCCTGCACCACAGGGTCATCGAACTTCCTCCCTATCAGCCTCTTGGCATCAAAGACGGTGTTGGGGGGGTTGAGGGCCACCTGGTTCTTGGCCGCCTCCCCGATCAGCCTCTCGGTGTCGTTGAAGGCCACGTAGCTGGGCGTGGTGCGGTTGCCCTGGTCGTTGGCGATGATCTCCACCTTGCCGTGCTGAAACACACCCACACAGGAGTAGGTGGTGCCCAGGTCGATGCCAATCGCTGTGGCCATTGTCCTGCAGTCAGTGACTCGGACTCTGAATCGCTGTCCCAATGGCAGTGGATCTTGTGGTGGAGTCACTGCGAAGAAATTTTTCTCTCTGTGTCTTCTTTCTCTCTGTCTCTCTCTCTCTCTCGTTCTCTCTCCTCTCTCTCTCTCTGTCTCACTCTCAGTCTCTCTCTCAGTCTCTCGGTCTCTCTCGGTCTCTCTGTGGCTGTGGCTCTGCTCTCGGTCACTCTGTGGCTGTGCTCTCGGTCACTCTGTGGCTGTGCTCTCGGTCACTCTGTGGCTGTGGCTCTGCTCTCGGTCTCTCTGTGGCTGTGGCTCTGCTCTCGGTCACTCTGTGGCTGTGGCTCTGCTCTCGGTCACTCTGTGGCTGTGGCTGTGCTCTCGGTCTCTCTGTGGCTGTGCTCTCGGTCACTCTGTGGCTGTGGCTCTGCTCTCGGTCACTCTGTGGCTGTGGCTCTGCTCTCGGTCACTCTGTGGCTGTGGCTGTGCTCTCGGTCACTCTGTGGCTCTGCTCTCGGTCTCTCTGTGGCTGTGGCTGTGCTCTCGGTCACTCTGTGGCTGTGGCTGTGCTCTCGGTCACTCTGGCTGGCTCTGCTCTCGGTCACTCTGTGGCTGTGGCTCTGCTCTCGGTCACTCTGTGGCTTGCTCTCGGTCACTCTGTGGCTGTGGCTGTGCTCTCGGTCACTCTGTGGCTCTGCTCTCGGTCACTCTGTGGCTGTGGCTCTGCTCTCGGTCACTCTGTGGCTCTGCTCTCGGTCACTCTGTGGCTGTGGCTGTGCTCTCGGTCACTCTGTGGCTGTGGCTGTGCTCTCCGTCACTCTGTGGCTGTGGCTCTGACTCTCTGTATATGGCATCAGCTGCTCGGGCTGTGGGCGGGTCTGTCGCCCACGGCGGCCAATCAGAGGGCGGTGCGGTGACGTCACGGACAGAAACCCCCAGAAGCTTCCGGGTTGGCGGCCAATCAGAGCGGCGGAACTGTGGGGAAACCTCAGGAAGGAACGAAGCGGAGAATCCGCTGTAAATCAGGAAAACCGCATCGAAACTTCTGGGAACATCTGGAATTCAGCACAAATACAGCGCAAAAGTGCCGAAACCTGAAAATCAGCGGCACCTCAGTGTGAAAGGGCAGAAACACCCGAAAATCAGCACAAACTTCAGGAAAAATGCCCCCAAACAGCTGGAAATCAGCTGAAAATTAGCGCAAAAGTTTCCAAACATCTGGAATCAGCCGCGACTTCTTCTTAATATGTGGAGATCGCGATCACTGGAAATCAGCCGAAACTTTGGGAATGTGTCGCTGGAAACCAGACAAACGTTCACGTGAGTGTTCGACCGCTGGTTATCAGCTGAAACTTCTGGAAAGTGCTGTAAACCATTGGGAACTCATATCAAATTGTTCGCAATTTTTGCTGAAATTTTGGGGAAGTGATAGACACAGCGGGAGATCCGCTGAAACTTCATTGAAAGTGTCCAAAACATCACGAAGTCAAAGTTTATATGAAGTTATTATTATTGAAGTGAAGATGTGTAAAGTTACTGGAAATCAGCAGAAGTTTCTCGACAGTGCAGCTGGAAATGAGCCAAAAGTTCATGTCAAGTGCCGACACCACAGCTCATCAGCTGTAACTTCGAGAAAGTGCTGCAAGAAATTTGCTGAAGTTTCCAGTAAGTGCCGGAATCAGTTGGAAATGTACATTAAATTGTTCAGAATGTGAACAGCCACTCAGACAACAACACGATTACATTTGTATAGCGCCTTTCACGACGGGAGGACGTCCTGAGGCGCTGGACAGAGTACAGCATTTCAGACCTGAGTGGGGTCGGGGGTGAGGGGGAGGGGAGAGGCCGATGGTGTGGTCGATGAGGAGGGTCTTGAGGCGAGACTTAAAGGAGGCTAAGGAGGGGGCGAGGCGGAGTGACTGGGGGATGGATTCCCAGAGGTTGGGGCGGAGTGGCTGAAGGCTCTCCCGCCAATGGTGGGCGGGTGGGTCGGGGGACGTTGAGCAGCCAGAGCCGGCTGAGCGGAATTGAATTGGCTAAAGGGAGTACAATTGCCAAGTTTTAAGTCTGCAGATGATACTAAGCTAAGACAAGCAGTGAACGGAGAGGAGGATAGTAGCAGAATATAAGAGGACGTAGACAGAGTGGTAGAATGGGCAGACATGTGGCACATGAAGTTTAATGTGGAGAAATGCAAAGTGATGTATTTCGGGATGTGGGACCTCATAGTTGGTACAGTAAATCTTTGAAGGTCGCAGGACAGGAAGACAAAGCTATTTAAAAATATATAGGAAATACTTGGCTGTATTAATAGGGGCAAAATTCAGGAAGTGGTACTTTATAAAACACTGGTTAGGCCTCAGCTAGAGTTCTGCAGGGTGCAAAGGAAATTTACCAGGTGACATGATTTATACCTCATCAGAAAAGTCTTGCAATGCAGAGTGTCGTGGGCATATTTTTGTGGGCAGATATCTATCGTTGATGAGCTTAATCCTCAAAATATGAAGTATGCACAGTACTCTGCAACAAATTCACACTCCCTTCCATATTCTGCAATAAAAAGCGAAGGAAGTTTTCCCACTAAGTCCTCCCAACAAGGAATGTTCCCACTGAGTCTTCCTATTGAGTCCTTCCAACAGGCACCATCGAAAAAGCACATTTTCTTAATCTTAAGGATACCTAAGGGAAGATCAAGCCTTCCAAGGAGAACAAAAATGCCACACAAAAGAGAGAAGTCCGATTAAATGAAACTGAAGAATAAAGAACAGCTCAGTTGGACTTCGACACAGAAAGACATGATCACAAAAGCTGTACATCATGTTCGAGGGAGAAACTGTAAATGTCATCTACATGGAAGCTTTGCAATAACTCAAAGACAATCTGGATCACACATAAACTCGTCCGGTTAGCATAGCATTGACCGTATCTTTTATTGTTGATGAGCTATGGACCATCGGACATGTATGGGAGTTTTGCTTAAGGTGTACATACAGTGTTCGTGGCATGTTAAATGGTTTGTCAGTGCTATCACTGCAATCTACGTTCCATATCGGATACTTTGTTATTATTATGATTAATTTCAGTTTAATATTTCTTCAGGAGTTTCAAATATTTTATTTTTCATATATAAACCGAGCTGTCTGGGATAGAAAGATAAAATTATTTAAATAATAATTAAATAATTTTAAACACGACTGTGTGTGGGACATTACTGTGTGCAATTGCCTGCTGCGTTTTGCCCACAAAATACATACGCAATCAACTTTCCATTATATTCTGTGAAGGGCTTTGAGATATCTCGAAGGTGTTATCAGGCCCTATATGAAATGCAAGGATTATTGTTATCATTAATAATCATCTTGTGATTCATTGTTTAATTACATAAACAGATAAAAGGTATTAAAATGAATATAGTCATCAAAAGCAATCACAAAGGGAGACACAAGGATTGATTATTATTAATAAGAAAAAACAAGTAAAGCTCTGTGTAGACAGCGGGTTACGAGTGCTCGAAGGGTCTCAGCACCCATACCCCCCTCCTCCCACCCTCCTCCCACAACCTATTACCGTCACCTGTTTAAGGGGAGCTGGGAGGAAAAAGCCCTGAGGAAGACCACAGTCAGTCTCCTCAACGTCCCCAACACATGGGCCCCTCTTGCCCTTCACCTAACTTGTCAACGGCTGCTCGTCTGGACATCATGAGCTCTGATTGGCCGATGGACCTCGGAGTCAGTGGTGAAGAGGGAGGAGAACCCATCTTTGATGATGGCACAGAGATCACATCCGTCTTAAGGGGAACAGTCCCACTCATCTCCCCGAGAATATTTTCACCCACCGCTTATCAATCTAGTGAATGGCTGAGGGTTTTCCATCTTATTAAGCTCTCACTGAGCAGATTGTCAGCGGCTCAGAGTTTCCTCCGTCCTCATTATACCAGGGACTGAACAGAGGATAAAGTTTCTCAGTGAAAGTTTGGGTGAAAGTGTGGAGATGAGCCATGTTGTCAGCGTTGTAAAATGACACCTGTCCCCCCTCATAGTCCAGGAACACTCCGACCTTCCCGGGTCTCTCTCTCGGGGTCAGACAGGTACGATGGGAGGTCAGAGCATAATAGACCACACCCATCAGACACACACACCAGACTCCACCCTCTGTGATGGGTTCTTTTCTGTCCACCGACTCTCTGGCTACTCCCACAATCCAGTCAGTCTTGTTGCCCACCTGCACCTCCCAGTAATGTCCCCCCGACATGTAGCCCTCAGATCCCAGCACAAATGGCCAGTTAATGAACCTCTCCGGGATGTCCGGGAGCTGCTGCTGTTCATCTCCAACTCTCACACTGATCAGGTCGTCAGACAGGATGAGCTGAGGATGGGCTGTGTCAGGATCCAGAGTGACTGTAACTAGAGTGAGAATCAGAACATTACTCAGAACAGTGAACCACACTTACAGCTATAAATAAAATAATCTTTAGCATCACACATTACACACTGTGTAATACATCAACATCTCGTGGTAACAGAATCCAGAAAAAAGGTTCACTGTATGTGTGTGTGTGTGTCAGGGGTGGGGGGTGATGTGAGGGTGTGTTTTGTGTGGGGGTGTAAGTGACGGTGTGTGTGTTGGAGGGGGAGGAAAGCGAAGGCCGCGATGTGGAAATGTTGACATTTACATTTTGGAAAAGTAAACCAGTCCTGGCAGCACAAACCTGTAAATTGTTCTTGTTCATGATTTTAGGATCTTGTATAACCATGGATTAGATTTCCCCGGTTGATGGATTGTGATGAACATGGACTACTTTTTCCAGTTTTCCCATCTCTCTGGAGAAAAATTATATTCCTGCACTTTGCATTTGTTGCTCTGAACATTTCCTCAAATCACAAAGGCAGAGTCTGCCTATTTTCCTCTCACCTTCTGATTGAATTTTCTGATATTTCCACTGACCTGTTTTCCACCCAAGAGTCTTATTTGAAAAATTATAATATATTTAACTCTGCAAGACTTTTATAATAATAATCCTTGTGTTTGATACAGTGCTTATCACATCATCAAACCAGAATATACTCTAAAGTGAATTGACTGTGTGATTTATGGGAGAAACATGGCATCCAGTTTGCACTCAGAAGCGTTGCACCAACAGTCCTGGGGTGAGGGATCAATTTTATTTGGGGGATTTGTTGACCAGGGGAAACTCCCTTCTCTTGTCGAGTTCTGCCACGGGATCTTTAATGGCCACCAGAACAGGCAGACAGGACCTCGGTTTAACATCGCATCTGAAGGACACCTCTGTCAATACAACACACCCCCAGCACTGAATTGGAGCATCAGCTTAGACGATGTGATTCCAAGATCCGATGTGAGATTCTGACTCAGAGGCGAGAAAGCTCCCACTGAGCCCGGCTGACACATCTTTTATCCCTCCAGGATGACTGTGTTCATTCTACATGTCACTGACCAATCCATATCTTATGGACCACTTTGTAACAGAGTGTAACCGATTGCAGGAGTTCCTTTCAGAGTGGACAGTCCCAGTGTTTGACAATGAACGTGGCAGGTTTATGGGAATATTGTGTTCCCAGGTTACTGAGACTCTTACCTGCGTAGGGGGTGAACTTTCTCCGCTCTGGAAACAAGAAGAAAGGAGAATTAATCAGTTTCACAGCTGCCGCACACGCAGATGAGGAGTATGTTCATGTTTGAAGTCAATGTACATGAGTGAGTCCATGGAAAGCCACTGCCCCTCACACTGAGAGCTGCCGCTGTGTTCAGCCAATTCACACCAGCCACAGATTATAATGTGTGAGATGCTGATAACTTAATTAGAGTTTTCTCTATAAATTAATTATAATCATTGTAATAATTCTTGCATTTGATATAGAGCTTTACCACGTCATTGAGATGTCTCAAAGCGCATCACAGGATTTACTGCTAAGTGAATTGACTGTGTATTTTGTGAGCGAAACACAGCAGCCAATTGCGCACAGCAGTGTCACACAAACAGACATGGATTGAGTGACCCAAATTATTATTTTGCTTTTAAAGAGATTATTACACTTGGAAAAGTGAAGATTAATTGACAAACAGCCAGGTTCCCACTTATTGCTGTGTAAACAGAGGCACGTGGAGTAAGGAAACTGGCCTTAGGTTTTTCCCTGTTTAGGAATCAAACCCGTGACCTCTCGCTTGTGAGGCGAATGCTCTAAACACTGAGCTACAGGACTCCATAATTCAAAAGATTAGCCAAATCAGCAAGGCCATAATAATGTGCTTGATAGTATTTACTATAAATAATAATATATATCGTAATGTACTTTATGCTTTATTTTTTCTAGTAGGTCTGAAATTAAGTTATTCCTGTTTAAGTTTGTAATACATTGGAATTAATTTGGTAGTTTTGATTTACTTACTTTTTCTCAGCTTTCAGTGATCAGAAACCTTCCACGTGAGGTGATATCACTGGTATATATTTCCTTTATAATTTACTTCAGAAATGTTCAAGATCTGAAACCATTTATCAATAAAAATCTGAATTTAATTCAGTTTCCACACTCCACACGCCTAATAATAATCCCTCAAGAAATAAAACAATAATAAATTGGTCACTTCAATCCATGAATGTTTGTGCGACACTACTGTGCGCAATTTGGTTGCTGCATTTTGCCCATAAATATATAGAATACACTTTGCAGTATATTCTATGAAGCACTTTGAGACATCTAGAAGATGTGAAAAGCGTTATATTAAATGTAAGCATTATTATTATTATTATTACTGTGATAAAGGACTTGTGAGGCCTGAAAAGTGAAGCTGTTTATAAAATTTGACCAGGATTTTGTGGAACATTCTCAAAGGAAGGAGGCAGCCCGAGCACTAACTCCAGGCAATGACGGTTGGAAAGAAAGCTGTGTAAGAGAAGGGGAAGTGTACCAATTAATAACCATAACATAACTCGAATTGATATAGAATATATAGAATATCTAGAAATATAGACTGTATCTTACAGCACAGAAGGAGGGCATTCGGCCCATCGTACCCGTGACATGTTTTTGAAATAACTACCAATTAGTCCCATTCTCCTGCTCTTACCCCATAGCTCTGCACATTTTTGCTTTCAAAGTAAATCTATCTTTTTGGTTCATGCACTACCTTCATCTCAGTCGATTATTAGTATCTCAGGATAAATATTGGGGTTTGTTAACATTTATCTCTCAGTCACGAAGATTGTGTGAAACACATTTTATGCAACTATTTGGTGTTGAGGTGATCTAATGTCAATGAGATTTCATCACAACAGAGATTGTTGTATAATTTTGCTTACCCAGTCTTTTCTGAAGGTCTGTTGAATAAAAAATTGAAATTGTTAGTATAGACAAATTGTTACTACATTGACAAACTGATTATGTATAGTCGTGTAGCTCAGTGGTTAGAGCACTCGCCTCACAAGCGAGAGACCTGGGTTCGATTCCCGGTAGTGCGACATGTTGGGCAAGTTTCCTTACTCCACATGCCTCTGTTTACCCAGCAGTACATAGAGACTGGTTGTTAGTGGATTGGTGTATGGCTTTTCTGGGAGTAATAATTCCTTCCAACAACTATTAATAATTTGATCACTCAATCCACGACTTTGTGGCCACTACTGAGCGCAATTGGCTGCAGTGTTTTGCCCACAAAATATACAGTCAAATAAATTTGCAGTATATTCTATGAGGTGAGTTGTGACCTCTCGCAGATGTGAGAAGGCGCTATATCAAATGCAAGGATTATTATTATGATGAATACAGTTTTATGTTGAGGGATAATCTACAGGGTGTTTAGCAACCCCAGGTTTTCTTTCTTAAAATGATTTTTTATTTTCTAAGACTACAGAGGAGGTGAAACAAGCTATCAGAGATACATATCAACTTGTTACTCCATCATGGTACAGAAGATGTTGCACCAAACTTGGCAACGGATCATTATCTGCCATGAAAATGGTGGAGCTCATTCACTCTCACCGATCCTCTGGACGTCTAAATACAGTTAAACCTCAACCTCGCCTCCTTGCTTGCTTCCTTTAAGACCCATGTTAAGAATCTCCTCTTCGACCCTGCTTTCAATCACCCTGATTCCCCATGCCATACACCCTCCCCAATCCCAACCCGCAGCTTGGGTCCAAAACTCTGTCTAATGCCTTGGGACGTCCTCTCGACATGAAAGGAGCTACACACATGTAATTTTGTTCTTGTTTTAGTGGTACATAATAAAATTAAGGACTTTGAAATACAATCACAATTAGTGTCACAATTGTTTCATAGAAAGTATTTGTTTCATGAAAACAAACAATGTGTGACTTGTAATGGGAGATGTTACTGTTGGGAACGTACCTTTGATTTCTCGATGCTGTTTTATACTGTAGCCGACAAGAACACTCAGCACCATTATGGCAAGTCCTAAGAGCAGTGAGGAAACCATCAAACTCACTGGCATTTTGGGAAAGAAGTCGTCTGTCAAGAAATGTAAATAGACATTTAAAGAAGTGGTGTGTCAGCCTGGCTCAGTGGTAGCACTCTTCCCTCTGAGTCAGAAGGTTGTGGGTTCAAGTCCCCATATCGGGATTTGGAATCAAATAGTCTAAGCTGAAGCTCCAGTGCATTGCTGGAGGTGTTGCATTGTCGGAGGTGCCGTTCTTTGGATAAGATGATAAACTGAGGTCCCCGAGGTCTACCAACCTGGATGATTCAAGGTTTTTTTTCCATTTGGCTTTTAACACTAAGGAGACCTTCAAGATCCTCCCTGACCATCCAGTTACTGAGTGTTGTTAAGTTAATGAATTGTTATTTTTGTACAACGCGGATCTCATCAAATAAAAATGAGTTGTAAACATTACTGACCAATAACATTCAACTCCATCACTGCCTCTTCATACCATTCAGAGTACTCAACGAAGCACGTGTACTCTCCGTGGTCTGACACCCGCACATCTTCCAGTCTGAGAGACACATTGCCATTGATAAACTCCTCCACAAACAGTTGTGTTCTGCCTCTGTAGGTTTCTTTCTGCTTCTGCAGTTGATGATGTCCCTCCTTGTATAAATGCACTGGGGAGTCATATCTTGTCCTGAACCACTTCACTTCCACACCCTCTAGGGGCAGGTCTGTGGAACACTTACAGTCCAGGACAACATCCGAACCAGCAATGGCTGAGACAGGGAGGGCCGGGCCACTGACTGTGAATCTCTCTGTTTAATAACAAACAATGGATAAGTTAGGAATCAACTGACTCAGACAAACTCTATAATGCAAGATGTCTCCCTCCCGGGTGAGAGAGCGCATTCCATTCCAACAACCTATCTGTGAAATTTCCATGTCTAGATGGGATGCACGGAAATCTCAGCTTGATTTGGATCCTCTTAAACACGGTAATGGGTTTCTGCATGTGTCAGAATCACGGCTGAGCAAAAAAAAGTCACTGTGATATCAATTAGTTCCGACATAAACAATGATAATAATCCTTGAGGGACGGGTTCAGAATACAACAAGTGAGATTAATGATGGTCTTTGTAACAAGAGGAATGTAAATTGAGGTGCTGTCAGGCCTCAACTGAAGCTATGACTTGAGGCAACCAATGTTGAGAAGCTGATCCATGAATTAATCCCTGGGATGAAATGGTTTAGCTGTGTTGAGAGGCTGTTTAGACTTAGATTATATTCCTCAGCACTGAGGATGTTTAAGGGGTGATCTGATTGAGGTGATTCCAACAGTTAGGAGCTATTGTAGAGCTATTGGAGAAAATTCCCTTCACGATTATAAGTGAACAACCGAGTTCCTAGTTATTGCAAGGTAAACAGAGAAGGGTGGAGAAAAGAAACTTGGCTAAAGTTTAGCCCCACCTGGACTTGAATCTTTGAGGCTTTGCCCAACTCCTGGAACATTAGCAGCTGTCAGTGTGTGAATCACACTCACTCCCAGCCGCCACCTTCAGCAGCTCTCCCTTTACCCTCAGCAATTTAACACCAACAAAATCAAACAGATTCAATGTGTTTCCTTACCAGCCAGTGAGAGGGGAAGCGCAAGCCATAGGACCTGAAGAAAGTGTTTCCAGCTCATCCTCTCGGACCTTCACAATGAGATTAGAACTGGTTACAACACAGCAATTCAGATCATACACACAGAGACTTGTGTTTGTATATCTATCTATATTAATCAAGACAAAATGTTTGTGTGAGTTTGTCTGCGTGTCAAGCCAATAATGCTAATAACCAATTGACATTGATTATAAGTCATCAGAAAGGTCTTTCAAGTTGGAGTGTCATGGGCATATTTGTTTTGTGGAACACCTATCACTGATGAGCTACATTTAAAAAATACTTTAATTCAGCCCCACAATTTGAGGTGTGCATCGTATACTGCAACACGGTTTTGACAGAGAAAACACACACCATTCCAGAGAGATACATCTACGCTAATGTATTCTGAAACAAAGTTGCATGAGAGAAAACCAGGGGCATTTTTTGGGTGGATCTCCTATCTTTATATCAAGGCTAATAATGTAATATAAATTAGGATATAAATTATAATAATAATATAAAAGTATAATAATATACTATAAACAGCTGTGGCTCGAGCACCTCCGCACCTACTGCCTCTCCCCTTCACAGGCCAATCTGACTTTCAATCTAAAGTCATCCTGGAGGCAAACAACAATCCAAAGATGCTATTATCCATCATCCACCATCCTCTCTATTAACCCACTCAAGCATCTGCTTGCCTGCACCATTGTGCTCGGTCAATTCTCTCTTCGAGCCCCTGCGATTTCCCACTGCCCACAGCATAGAGACAGTGCTTTTCAAGGACACATATGACATTCTCTCTATGTGACCAGGGCTCCCTCTGCCTCCTCATCCTCCTGGATTTCTTTCCCACGTCCGACACAGTTGACCATGCCATCCTTCTCCACTACCGTCCTCCCTCATCTCCCTTAGTTATCTATATTTTCCCCTAATGTCATCCATTGACATGACATAAACTTCCACATGTATGCGATGACACACAAATCTACTTGGCCTCCTCCATTACAAACTCCATTTCCCTGATGTCCTATCAGCTTGTCTGGCAGACATCAAGGCCTGGATGAGTGTAAACATCCTGCAGCTGAACATGGACAAGATGGAAGACATATTCCTTGTCTGTCAATGTCTTCACTGCTGCGGATCTAAATTCCTCAAGCTCTCTGGGCTCTCCTTCAGTCTCAGGGCACAATCTAGGCATCCGGTTCAATCTCCAACTGTCCTTCCTGCCCCACATACAATTCCTGACCAGGACCGCCTTGTTGCACCTCTGCCACATTGCCCTCCTCAAACCGTACCTTATCCCAAATGCAGCTGATAAACATGTGCATGCGTTTGTCACCAACTCAGAGTCAGGCAACGTCCCTTTAAAGCTCTGTAAGATGTTATTCTGCATGAATGGCGCAATACAAGTACAAGCTGTTGTTGTTATAAAGTACAATAATCTAATATAACGTACAATAATCTAATATAAAGTACAATAAACTAATATGAAACATAATATAATATAAGGTATAATAATACTAAAATGCTCATTCCATATTGGATCCTTTGGTTGCAAGTACAGCCGCAATAGGTTCAGCTGGTAATTAATAAACATGGAAAACATAATTAATAATTCTGTCATCTGACAACATGTTCTTTGCATTTACACCCACAGCAGAACAAACTGCCTTCTCTGTTGGAATAGTGATGTGGGATCTTTAACTGTGACAGTGAGGCCCCCCTGGCCCCGCACTGGGGGTCTCCATGAGGGGGTTTGGGGAAGAAACATGTTATGTGTAACTGCTGTAATGTGCTCCTGCCCTCCCCCTCCTCACAGCCGCTCCTTATTCACCCCAACAAGATGCAGGTCAGAGAGGAGCTCCCATTCCCTCCCTCCTCACTTGCCTCCAGTTCTCAGTGTCTAAACAACAAACTGGGAATAAACTGACTGCAGAGCTCCCGCTTTACTATTGACACAAACCTGACAATAGAGAACATTGATTTTATGTCTAAACTCCACATCACCAGAGGTGACGGTAAAACCAATAAATCCTACAACTGGAATACAGAATAAAGTAATTTTTTTCAATCACAATCCAATGTCATTTCAGGCAACAATTTCTGACACTTACCTGTTGGTGATTTGCTTCAAAGAGAGGAATCTTCACAGGTAAAACTGTATTAATGTGTGACCGGAATTGCATTTGTCTGACTGTCAAATTGTCTTGTGGGAGTTACATCGCAAAGAATGTACAGCACCTAAATAGGCAACTCGGTCAAACCAGTCTGTGCGGTGATTATATTCCACAGGCGTCTTCACCCATTCCTTACTCCCTGAACATTTTGTTTGTGAAATATCCAGTCAATCCACTTTACAATGTGTTCTATGAAGCAATTTGAGGCATCTCAACAACATGATAAGGCGCTACATCAAATGCAAGGATGAACTGTTTCAACTACTTCTTCAGGCAGAGAGTTCCACAATCTCACTACCCTTTGCGTGAACTACTACATAGCACACCACTATATTTCACACATATATATACTATACACACATATCCTCCCAATGTGAAAGGCGCTATACAAATGTAAACTTGTTGTTATGACACTGAATAAGGAGAAGGGTAAAATATTCCATAAAACATAGATTATGGAAATCCTGCAATTTTCCTGTTTGTGATGACAATAGCTCATCGCTTGTTGTCAGTAACACAAGATTCCTGATCCGAAACCCCTGGTTACACCTTCACATTTCCCTGGAATAATCTTCAATCCCACAGGAAAGGTCCCCACATGACTGATTTCCCAGTTCATAAAACAGATCATTTACTGAGTACAGCATTCTCAGAGGCTTCATACATCTGGTTATCCAATGGGTGTGATAGAGTGTGCGAATGAGTGTGAGAGAATACGTCAGTGTGTGTCTCAGTGTGTGTGATACACTGTGTTTTAACAACAATAACAACAACAAATTACATTTGCACAGTGCCTTTCACATTGGGAGGATGACTCAAGGTGCTGGACAGTCAGGGCTTTCGTCACAAACTGGAGGTCTGTATCAGGATTGGTGGAGGGCATGGAGGGTGGGGTTGGGAGTGTGACTGAAGGTGCGGTCAAAGATGAGGGTATTGAGATATGCCTTGAAGGGAGATAAGGGAGAGAGTGAGGTGATAGAACTGTGGGATGGAGTTCAAAAGTGTGGGGGTGGAGAGGCTGAAGCCTCAACCGCCAATGGTGGTGTAGCCCGACGGGGGACATGCAGCAGGCCAGAGGCTGCTGAGCGGGGAGCGTGGACAGGTTGGTAATGGGTCAGCAGGTCACAGAGGTAGGATGGGGCAAGGCCGTGGAGGGCCTTGACGGAGAGGATGAGGATTTTGTCCTCTGGGGGATGGGAAGCCAGTGAAATTAAGTGAGGGTGGGGCTGATAGGATTACGGAGCCTGTTGTGTTTCTGGATGATCTGCATCTTGTGGAGGCGAACTTGAGTCTTGATATAATAAATTCAATGTATATAGTGTGGGTGACAGTGTGTCTCAGTCTGCTTTTGTCTGAGTATGAATAGTGGAGACTTGCTGACGGGCTGTGACACAGACTGAATAGACTGAGTGTCAGGATTAATGATCAGTCTCTGCAAACACAGCATCAACATGGGGCAAATTCACCATATTCCCAAAAGGTGGAGACACAAATTGCCATTCCCGTGTCTGAGTGTAATTCACACTCTTTGTGAATGTTTCTGTCTCCAGTTGTTTGGGGAAAGCCTCAGTCGGCCATCTCAGGGGCTGGGCATCGAGTTACACTTGATTGAAGGAACGTACAGATTTACAAAGAATGTACAGCACAGAAATCGCCAAACCAGTCTGCGGCGGTGTTTATACTCCACATCAGTCTCCACCCATTCCTTACTCCCTCCCATTCCATTCAATTCTCCTCTCCCTCATGCAAAGGTCTCCTGACTATACTTAAAGGGAGTGTCCCAAACACGTGTGCTCATCCCGTGTGTTGTTAACCAGCCTGAAAGCCCCATAAAAGGGAGGGTTTGGGGATAGGTTTAGAGGATCCAACTTCCTCTTAAAAACAACACAGTCCTATAGCTGTGTGGTTAGAGCACTCGCCTCACAAGAGAGAGATTGCTGGGTGGGGTGAAACCTTAGGCAAGTTTCCTTATTCCACACACCTCTGTTTTCCAAGCAGTAAGTTGGAAACTGGTTGATAGTTGATTGGTGGATCGCTTTTTGGGGTTAATAATCTCTCCCACGGTTAATTTGGTCACTCAATCACCACTGTTTGTGGGATACTGCTGTGCACACTTGGCTGCGGTATTTTGCCCAAAGAACACACAGTCACTACACGTTACAGTATGTTCTCTGAAGTGTTTTGAGATCTCTCAGCAAACCCCAAACATGGAGCAGCCGGTGAGGCTGTAGAGGAGCAACAACCGGATCAGAAACAAACACGGGAGCGGAGAGTAATGAGGGTCAGAGGAGGACGTGGGCATTCGGTGTCTCAGCGCTGTGTGGTCTCTGTATAGGAAGGGGGAGAGGGAGTTAAGACAGCTCAGGGTGTGTGTCGGGGGTTCAGGGTCAGGGATGTGTGTAGACTGTGTATAATGATTGGACTTAAAATAATGGCATAACATGATTTATTGTAAATTGAGGCAGTATTTTGCAAGTGAATGACAATACGTTGGATATTACTATCCACTTGAACAGACACAGATTTGACCTCAGTTTAACAAAGATTAAAGATCTCGCTTCTTGGGTGATTGTTACAGTGAATGAGAGAAATGTTATAGAGTATAAAAGATGACACTGAAAATATACATTGTTTAAATACAGTGAGAAAAACTGCACAACGTCGTACAACATGTCTCCTTGTTTATAGATATAAAATTGATTTGGGAGATTTCAGTGAGATTCTGAGCGCAGCCCCGACTGTGAGACTGGGCATTGCTGGAGAGAAAGATATCAGCGATATATATCCCTGTCTCAGAGCGTGTGAGCTCACACACTGGATGGCAAGTCAGATTCTCTCAACACGAGCACAGAGACGAGCTGGCGATGAGCTTTACAAAGATGGGTCACGTTTTGCTCCGACACATTGGGTGTCAGGTTCCTCTGATGCTCTGAATGATGTTAATCCAGACGAGCTGTTGCGGTGCTGGTGCTGATTGTGCTGTCTGGCGGCTACAGTGGCTCATTACACTGAACCCCTGGCCAGAGGCTGGAACATGCTGCGTGACAGTGGGTATCCCCGGCCCCTGTGAAGGCCAGTGGGGATGGTGAGGCGGCTGAGTGTGAGAGGAGAGCTGAGCCTGTGGGAGGTTACACAGCGAGGACCATCGAAAATTTTAAAGATATCTATTTTGGTGTCAGACTCAGTCCGGCTGGTTGTGAATCCAGGATACCCGGAGTCCTGTTAGTGGGGTTTACTGTATTGATGCTGGAATGTGCAGGTGCCGTGTTGTGGCTGCTCAGTGACAATGGCCACAGATGGCTTTCCCGGCACAGGATACAATGTGGAGCTGACGTCTCCCAGGGAGACCCCACTCAGCCCCACCCTTCACTTCCCATCACAATCTCAGCTCAAAACTGGAGCAACAGCACAGAATCAAACACTCGGCACCATCCAAACCTCATGGAAATAACAGTCACATTTTCCTCCTCATTAACCTGTCACCGGCAGATTGTCAGAGGCTCAGAATCAAACATGGGACTGAACAGAGGATAAAGTTTCTCAGTGAAAGTTTGGGTGAAAGTGTGGAGATGAGCCATGTTGTCAGCATTGTAAAATGACACCTGTCCCCCCTCATAGTCCAGGTAAACTCCAAACTTCTCGGGTCCCACTATCAGGGGCAGGGGGGTGGGGGGTGACGTCAGAGCCTCATAGACCCCAGCCCTCAGCCACACCCCCCAGAACCCACTCTCTGGTGACCATCTGATTGGTTGTTTCCTGTTGACAGACTCTGTGGCCAATCCCACAATCCACCTCTTGTTACCCCCTTGTACCTCCCAGTAATGTCTCCCTGATGTGAAGCCCTCAGATCCCAGGACAATGAGAGATTTACTAAACCTCTTTGGAGAGTCAGGGAGCGGCTGCTGTTCGTCTCCGTATCTCACACTGGTCCTGTCCTCAGACAGGATGAGTCGGGGATGGGCTGTGTCAGGATCCAGAGTGACTGTAACTGGAGAGAGAATCAGACCATTAATGTCAGATACATTTACAATTATGAATAAGTTGATCTTCAGCGTCGTCACCGGGAGAGAAGCCTTTGTGTAAGCATCGACATGTCCTGTGAACAGAATCCAGCATAAAATCTGTGTGAGGTGGGGAGGTGGAAGTGAGTGTGTGTGTGGGAGGTGGAAGTGAGTGTGTGTATTGCGGAGATGTGAGGAGTAGGAGATGGGAGTGTTTGGGATGTGAAGGTATATGGGGGGTGGAAACTTGAGCGTGTGGGTGAGGCTGTGTGTGGGTGGATGAGATGGTGTGTGTGGAAAGGGTGATGTGAAGGTGTGTCTGTGGGGATGTGTGAGGGGGATGGGAATGTATGGGTGGTGGGAATGTGAGGGTTTGTGTGGTGGGGGATGTGAGGGTGTGTGTGGGGGGGGTGGAATGTGTGAGTGTGTGAGGGTGGTGATCTGCGGGTGTGCGGGTCTGGATATGAGGGTGTAGGGGCAATGTGAAGGTGCATGGGACTGTGAGGGTGAGTGGTGGGGGTGAGTGACTGTTTGGGGGGGGGATGTGAGAGTGTATGTGTGGGGGGGAGTTGTGAGGGTGTGTGTGTGTGGGAGCGGCGATGTGAGGGCATAAGAACATCAGAATTAGGAGCAGGAGTAGGCCATTTGGCCCCTCGAGTCTGCCCCGCCATTTGATAAGATCATGGCTGATCTTCAGACCTAACTCAAATGACCTGCTCTATCCCCATATCCCCTAATGCATCTGTTTTTTAAAAAATCTATCAGTCTCAGCCTTGAAGATGTTCAAGGACTGAGCATCTACAGCCTTCTGGGGTAGTGAATTCCATAAATTCACTACCCTCTGAGTGAAGAAATGTTTCCTCAACTCTGTTCTAAAAGGCTGACCCTTAATTTTAAGACTGTGACCCCTGGTTATAGATTCTGCTACCAGGAGAAACAGACCCTCAGTGTCTATCAGCCCTTTAAGAATCTTATGTTTCAATAAGATCTCCCCTAACTCTTCTGTACTCCAGAGAATACAGCCCTCGTTTATTCAGCCTATCCTCATAGGTCAGTCCCCTCATCCCAGGAACTAACCTGGTGAATCTACGCTGCACCCCCTCTAGGGCAAGTATGTCCTTTTTTAAATAAGGAGACCAAAACTGCACACAATACTCTAGGTGCGGTCTCACCAAGGCCCTATACAGTTGCAGCAAGACTTCCCTACTCTTGTACTCTAAACCTTTTGCAATGAACGCTAACATGCCGTTCGCCTTCTTAGTTGCTTGCTGCACCTGCAAACTAACTTTTTGAGACTGGTGTACAAGGACACCCAAATCCCTCTGAACACTAACACTATCTAATCTCTCCCCCTCTAGAAAATAATCTGTTTTTCTATTTTTGCTAATGAGGTGAATAACTTCACACTTCCCCACATTAAATTCCATCTGCCACCTACTCGCCCACTCCCCTCTCTATATCCCGTTGCAATCTTTTTGCATCATCCTCAGATCTTACTCTCCCACCTACTTTAGTGTCATCCGCAAATTTAGATACGTTACATTCAATGTCCTCGTCCAGATCATTGATGTAAATTGTAAATAGCTGAGGCCCAAGCACTGATCCTTGTGGCACTCCACTAGTCACATCCTGCCAATTCGAGAATGACCCGTTTATCCCTACTCTCTGTTTTCTACCCGTTAGCCACTCTTCAATCCATGCTAATATGTTCCCATTAATCCTGTGGGCCTTAACCTTGTGCAATAGCCTTTTGTGTGGCACTTTGTCAAATGCCTTTTTAAAATCTAAATATACTACATCTACTGGTTCCCCCCTATCTAACCTGCTAGATACATCTTCAAAAAATTCTAAAAGATTAGTTAAGCATGACTTCCCTTTTGTAAAGCCATGTTGACTCTGCCTAATCTTGTTATGGTCTTCCAGGAATCCCATAACGACATCCTTAATTAAGGACTCAAGAATTTTCCCTACCACTGATGTCAGACTAACTGGTCTATAGTTCCCCATCTTTTCTCTCCCACCCTTCTTAAATAGTGGTGTTACGTTTGCAATCTTCCAATCAATGGGAACCGTTCCAGAATCCAGAGAATTTTGGAAGATCAAAGACAAGCCATCCACTATCTCAGTAGCCACCTCTTTTAAAACCCTAGGATGTAGGCCATCAGGTCCAGGAGATTTATCAGTTTTAAGACCTGACAATTTACCTAAAACCATTTCTTTACTAATATTAATTCCCCAAGTTGCTCGCTAACATTGTCTTCTTGGTTCCCCTCTATTCTTGGTAGGTTTTCAGTGTCTTCTAAGGTGAAGACAGTAGCAAAGTACTTGTTTAATGACTCTGCCATGTCTTTGTCCCCTACTATAATTCCCCACGTCTCTGCCTGTAGTGGACCCACATTTACCTTTGACAGCCTCTTCCTCTTTATATATTTATAAAAACTCTTACAGTCTGTCTTTATGTTCTTCGTGAGTTTACCCTCATATTCCATTTTCTCCCTCTTAATCACTTTTTTGGTTCTCCTTTGTTGATCCCTAAAGTTCTCCCAATCCTCGGGTTTACTACTCATCTTAGCTGTTTTATAGGCTTCTTCCTTTAACTTTATAGTTTCCCTAACTGCTCTAGTTATCCACAGTTGGGCCACCTTTCCTGTGGCATTCTTATTCCTCAAAGGAATACGTGCTCGCTGGGAATTTTGCACTAACCCCTTAACCATCTGCAAATGCTGGTCTACTGTGAAATCCTTAAGTCTAATTTCCCAGTTTATTTTGGCTAAATCCTCTCTCATACCAGCAAAATTGGCTCTACTTAAATTTAAAACCTTTGCTTTGGACTTAACTACTTCTCTCTTTAACTTAATGCTAAATTCCATCATATTATGATCACTTTGCCCTAGAGGAGCCTTAATTTCCAGTTTGCTGATCAGCTCTGCTTCATTGCACAAAACAAGGTCTAATATGGCCTGTTCCCTGGTTGGCTCCTCGGCATACTGATCTAGATAATTATCCCTAATACATTCTATAAACTCTTCCTCTATCATACGTTTCCCAATTTGGTTAACCCAATCTATGTGCAGATTAAAATCACCCACAATTAATGTTTTTCCTTTGTTACATCCTCTGCTAATTTCCTGATCTATACCTTGAGTGATACTGTGACTTCTGTTTGGGGATCTATAAACTACTCCCACTAGAGTTTTCTGCCCCTTGTTGTTATGTACCTCTACCCATACTGACTCTACTTCCTGCTTTTCTGATTTAAAATCTTTCCTCTCTACTGTTTTTATCCCAACCTTTATTAGCAGGACCCCCCTCCTCCTCGTTTACCACATTGTCTATTTTTTTCTATACGCCACATACCCTGGAATATTTAGCTCCCACCCTTGATCTCCCTGTAACCATGTCTCGGTGATGGCTACCAGATCGTACCCGTTTGTTTCTATTTGTGCATTTAACTCATCTATCTTGTTTCGAATGCTTCGCGCTTTCAGATATAGCGCTTGTAATTCTGACTTCGGGCTATTAGTCCTATTCACCAATACCCTATCCCTGGGCTTCCTTTCTCCACTTGACACACTTTGCTCATCTCCCTGGTTAATCTGCTCTCCCACTTTCATCGGTCCTAATTTTAATTGTGACGGATTACATGTGATTGAATTTACCCCCCCCCCCCCACCCCTTAGTAGTTTAAAGCCCTGTCTATCGCCCTATTTATTCATGTTGCCAGGACATTTGTCCCAGCCCTGTTTAGGTGGAGTCCATTCCTTTGGAATAGCTCCTGTCTCCCCCAATACTGGTGCCAGTGGCCTATAAAGTGAAACCCCTGCCCTCCGCACCATTCTTTTAGCCAGGTATTCAGTTCTTTAATTTTTTTTGCCTGTACTAATTTGCCCCCGGCTCAGGTAATAATCTCAATATTAATACCTTTGAAGTTCCACTCTTTAGCTTAACTCCCAATTCCCGGTACTTGCTCCTCAACTCGTCCCTACCTGTCCTACCTACATCATTGGTCCCTATGTGAATCATAACTATTGGATCCACTCCCTCCTGCTTCAAATTTTTCTCCAGCCCAGAAGTGATGTCCTTCACCCTGGCCCCAGGAAGGCAACAGAGACTTCTTGTCTCCCTGCTACGGCTGCAGAAAAGTGCGTCAGTCTTCCTGACTGTCTTATCCCCAATTACCACTATATTTCTTCTAACTATTCCCAGTGTGGCCTCCTGTATAGAGGTGTTGGGGTAAGTTTGCCCATCTTCCTCACAGACTTCCTTGTCCACATAGGTTGCAAGTATTTCATACCTTTTGGACAAGATTAAAGCCTGGGGTTCCTCTGTCCCTCTCTTTCAGGTCCTCTTACGCGCCTGTCTGACCGTCACCCAGTCCTGTCTGTGGTTGGCAACGGGATGTTCCCTGGGACTCGTGGGAGTGTCTGGCTCCAGGATGAAACTGTCCAGGAAGCTCTCCCCATCTCTAATGCTGCGCACTGTCTCCACCAGAGACTCCAGCTCAGCTATTCTAAGCTGGAGCTTCCTCAGTTGCAGACATTTGTTGCAGATGAAGTCGCCCGGGCTCAGGTTGTCCTCCATCAACTCCCACATACCACATTCCTCACACATCACCTGCCAGGTCATTCTCTCCTCTCACTCTATTTATCCCTGTATTATTGTTGTTTAGAAGATATTCTTCCCCCTCTGCACCTAATTCCCACTATCACCCAATTCCTTCTCACTCTGGCCTTGCCTCACTGCTCCAATGTGTGGGGTTCTGTGAGGGTGTGTGTGTGTGGGGGGAGATGTGAGGGGGTTTTTGGAGGTGACGTAAGGGTGTGTGGGGGGTGTATGTGAGAGCATGTGGGGGTGGAGGACATGAGGGTGTGTATGTGGCAGGGGAATGTTAGGGTGTTTGTGGGGTATGTGTGTGGGAGATGTGAATGTGTGTGTGGGTGGGGGAGCGATGGATGGTTTGTACGGCGGGGGTGATGTGAGGGTGAATGGGGGCTATGCGACATTATGTGTTGGGGGTGATGTGACGGTGTGTAGGGATGTGATGTGAAGATGTCTGTTTGGAGGTATGTGAGGGGTGGTATGTGAGGATGTGTGGGGTAATGCAAAGGTATGTGTGGGGGGAGTATGTGAGGGTGTGTGTAGGGTGGGCATGTCAGCGCATGTGGAGGGGATGTGAGGCTGTGTGTGGGGGGTGATGTCAAGGTGTATGGGGCGATATAAAGCTGTGCATGTGTGAGGGGATTTGATGTTTTGGGGTGTGTGTGAGGGTTTGTGTGGGGGGGGTGGTAGTGTGTGTAGCGGGATATGAGGGTGAGTGTATGAGGGGTTGTGTATGCGGGTGTGTGGGATGTGAGACTGTGATTGGTGGTGGTGGGAGGTAAGGGTGTGTGTGGGGGGAGGTGAGGGTGGGTGTGGGGGGGAGGTGAGGGTGGGTGTGGGGGGGGAGGTGAGGGTGGTTGTGGGGGGGAGGTGAGGGTGGGTGTGGGGGGGAGGGTGGGTGTGAGGGTGGGGAGGTGAGGGTGGGGAGGTGAGGGTGGGGAGGTGAGGGGGGGGAGGTGAGGGTGGGGAGGTGAGGGTGGGGGGAGGTGAGGGTGGGTGTGGGCGGGAGGTGAGGGTGGGTGTGGGGGTGGGATGTGAGTGTATTTAAGTGAGGGGGGATGTGAGGGTGTGAGGGGAAGTGTGTGTGTGGATGTGAGGCATGTGAGAGGATGTGTTTGTTGGTGGGCATGAGGATGTGTGTCAGTGTGTGTCTGGGGATGCAAGGGGATTGTGTGGGTGTGTGTGGGGTGTGAGGATGTATGTGTTGTTGGGCGTATGGGGGTGGTGTGAGGTTTTGTGTGTGTGGGCTATGTGTACATTTGCGGAGGATGGGCTGTGATGGTTCTGTGTGGGGATGGGAGTAGGGCCACGGATGTGTGCGAGATGTGAGGGTGTGTGTGGAAGCGGATGTGAGGGTGTGTGTATGGGGGAATGTCCAAGTTGTGTGTATGGGGGTGTGTGAGTGGGGGGGGTGTGAGGATGTGTGGGCGGGTGGGAAATGTGTGTGGAGAATATCAGTGATGGTGTGTTGGGGGATGTGAGTGTATTTGGAGGGAGAAGGAGTCAGTGTGTTGGATGTTGGTTGTTTGGTCACTCAGACTCTTACCTGCACACTTGCAAATCCTTTTCAATCCTGGAACCAAGAAGGAAGAAGTGATCAGACCTTTGGCAGCTTCTAACCTAATCACACTGCCTCCCGCCCCCTGGCCCGCCGGTCCCCGGGCCCGCCCGCCCTCTCTCACTCCCGCTCTCCTATCAATCCAACCCTCTCTCATTCTCTCATGTCCTCCCTCTCTCTCTACTTTCCTCTATCTATTCCTCCCCGTGCACCCCCCCCCATCCTCCCTCATTGAACCTCACTTATTCTCTCTCCCCCTAAATGTGTGTGTATTCACAAGCCAATGCTGTCTGAGAAAAGGGAAAGTTAAAGATGTGAAATAGACCAGTGGATCGAATTAAACAGCCTGTAATAATTCATGGAATAGATTCATTGAAATTTACAACCCAGAAGTAGGCCATTCACCATCGAGTCTATATGGGCTCTCAGAGCAAGGTGTTCATACAACAGCTGCACTTGTCATATCTCTATACCCCTTCAAACCTCTATCCGTCATATACCTGTCTATCTATCTGTCTACTGCCTCCGTTCCACCATTGGAAATCGTGTAATCAGCCACTATGCCCCGAAACTCTGGAACATTCTCTCTCAATCCTTCCACCTTGCCCCCCTCTCTCCACCTGAAAACCTTCCTTTTCGACCATGCTTATGGTCACCTTCTCCCCCCCCACCAACCCCCATCTCGGAGTCGGTCTCTGCCACTGTTAAGCACTCTGAGCCGCTACACTGTGTGGAGGGCACTATTTAAGTGCACATTGTTGTCTTATATTAACCTTGTATTTGATTCCTCATAAGCACTTCACAGGATTTACTGGAGAGTATAGTGACTTAGTATTTTGTTGGCAAACTATGTCTGCTTTGCATCAAGCTTGTGAATGAGGTTAATTACAACATAAGGTTTTTATTTTGATAACTTACCCACTCTCTTCTCAAGATCTAGAGAATACAAAACAGAACTGTTAGAAACCGATCCTGAATTTAGTATTATTTAATGGTCAGTCTACATGTTTACAACATTGACAGTTAGAAACTACACAAAGTGCAGCTCAACACAATCACAGGAGGTTTGAAGGGCAATAAAATTTACATTTACACAGCACCTTCCACAGCGGGGGACATCCCAAAGCACTGACAATGCTGGGGTCTGAGCTGGGGGTGGGGGCCGGGGTGGGGTGGAAGAGGGGGAAAATGAACTGAAAACGCAGGATGATGTAGGTCATGATACAGGCCTTGAAAGGAGGCAGGGAGGGGCCGAGTCGGAAGGATTCTTGGCTTGAATTGCAGAGAGTGGCGGCAGAGAGGCTGAAAGCCTGACCTGCTGATGGTGGGGAGGATCAGGCAGTGGCATGAAACAGACCGGGGTCGCTGAGTGAAGGGAGAGACCAATTGTTTTATAGAACTTACACATTCATACAGTAACAGTGTTGTGATGAGAGATGTTACTGATGGGAACGTACCTTTGATCTCTCGGTGTTGTTTTACACTGTAGCCGACAAGAACACTCAGCATCATTATGGCAAGTCCTAAGAGCAGTGAGGAAACCACCAAACCCACTGGCACTTTGGGAAAGAACTCGTCTGTCAAGAAATGTAAATAGACATTTAAACATCTATTCTCATATCAAACAACAAATATCTTTATTTACCCTCAAGTGACTGCATTACACACAATAGCTCAGTAGCTGTCACAGGCTTCACTCAAAGTCCTGGTAGTGTATTGGATCGAGTGCTCGCCTCGCATGCGAGAAGACCAGGGTTCAATTCCTGTGCAGGGAGAAACATTAGACAAGTTTCCTTACTCCACATGATTCTGTTTACCTAGCAGTAAGTACGAATCTGCTTGTTTGTCGATTGGCAGATCGGTTTCCGGGGCTAATAATGCCATCGAAAAATACAATATAATAATAATAATTTGGTCACTCAACCCACAGCTGTTTGTGGGACGCTGCAGTGTTCAATTGGCTGCCACGTATCTCCCACAAAATATACAGTCAATTTACTTTACAGTATATTCTGTGAAGCACTTTGAGACACCTCAAGATGTGATAACGCTCTATATTAAATACAAGGATTATTATTATTATTATGTACTTTTACTGGGGGGAGAAGTGGGGTCTTGGAGCTGAAGTGGCACCAAAGTGTTGTGGTTGGTAAGGGAATGTCAGAATAAAATCCATTCTTTGTGGCCGTCTCGTTAGCCCAGTCCCTGAGACCCAGACTCCAAGGGTGAACATGTGGACAAGGAAAAGGAGGAACAAAGATAGAGCTCTGAGGAACACCATCTGTGAATATACTGGGCAGGATGTGAAGCCATTGGTAAGATAAAGTGGAGATGCTGAGACAGACAGGAATGAAACCAGCAAAGTTCAGAGGCTGTGAGGTGAATCATGGAGAAGTGGTCAATAGTGTGAGAGATAGAGAAGGACAAGGAGACACAGGGAGGAGCCTGGTCACAGACAGAGAGAACATCATCTGTGAATTTGACCAGGGCTGTTTTGGTGCTGTTAGGAGGGAGGAAGCCAGTTTGGAGAAACCTTTACATGATGGGAGAGTAAGGAATGGGGCTTTGAAGCTACAATGCATCCCAGCACCTTGCAAAGGAAGGCAGGTAGAAAATGGGGTATCAGCTAGAGAGATTGTGAGGAGTTCATGAAAGTTTATTGAGACGAGGGTAAACGGCAATATTTCTGAAATAGAATTGCCATGCCAGAGGAAAGGAAATCATTCCTAATGTCTATTTTATTTCAGTTTACAAATGTGATTTCTGGAGGAACCTCTTACATTTATTGTCAAGTAAAACAAATTGGAGACTCCAAAGAGAAGTGTAAAGCACATTGGAACAAATAAGACAGCGAATGTATTAAATGATCACATTTTGGTGGTAATCAAACTGGAAGGTGCTGCCCAACATAACAGTAATAACAGAGCCATACCTGGCAACTCATGAACATAAGTGAGTGGAAAATTAATGGAAACAATAAATAGAAGCAAATAATCAGAAGGTGACCAAAATGTATATGTCTGTTCTTAAACTCAATCTTCAGAATGCTGAACATGTGTCCTGCTACCTCTGTGTGGATGTCCTGTAACTGTGTCCTATTCCCCAGCCCAGGTCCAATTCCCTGATGTCCTCCCAATGTGAAAGGCGCTTTAAAAATGTAATTTGTTGTTGCTGTCCTGCAGCTTCTCAGCTCTTAATTTGGAGTCTTCCCTTCACTGTGAGGTGGATCAGGCAACATTTGCCTTTTCTGAAGCAATGGTGGCTGTGAGTTACGAAGTATTGATTCATTCACAAGGTAATCAGCAGCTTGAATAGGTTAGCAGGAAAGGTGGGTGAGCTGGAGTGCTGAGGTCATTTCAGAATTGGTATCAATTTATAATGAGAAGATTCATTGCCTTCAAACATATCCATGGTACTGCTTCTCCTGATCTCTGTAATTTGCTAACTCCATATTTCTGCCCCAATTCCTTCCACAGTCCCTCCATCTTGAGCAGTTACTTGTCTCCTTCAAGACCCACCTCTTTGACCTCGCCTTTGGTCCCATTCCTACTCCCACCACCCTGCTCTCCATGCCTCCTGACCCCAATCCCAGCTCAAGTCCAAAACCTTGCATATCCAGCACCTTTGTATAGTGCCTCTGACATTGGGATGTTCTCCCGACATAAAAGGCATTTCACAAATATAATTTGTTGTTGATGTTGAAGATTGTTGAAGTTTGGTATTTTGAAAGGATGAAATCAGATGGACTGTATCACCAGACTGATCTAGTTTTCACTTCATGTGTTTTACAAGCTGCAAGATATTTATCAGATTATCATTAACAATTCAGTGAATTTACTGACCTGAGATTTGGAGTTTTCCTTCTTGTTCATTTTCTGAACTATGAATCAGACACCTGATCTTGTTGGTTGAATGGATTATTTCTATTTGGCTTTTAACAAAGAAGAGACCTTTAGAATCCTCTCTAACCGTCCAGTGACTAAGTATTGTTAAGTTATTTCCCTGATCATCAAACCACAGAACCTCTGGTGCTGGGAACCATCCACTGGATACACACAGCAGCCTCACACCATCACTGTGCTGCCCATCAACATGAATCCAAGGCTGACTGCCAAGGCCTGGAAGAAAAAGGAAATGTGAATCAGACAATATTTATACCAGGGACATTACAGTAACTTTACTGAAGGTATGTTTGTAACAGTCTGAATGAATTTACACAAAAGAATATATAATATATCTTGTTTATATAAAGTATTGTATTTTGAACATAACATTAACAAATAATGTTTGTACACACAGCTTACATGAAATAAAATTAGTTGTAAACATTACTGACCTATAACTTTCAACTCTATCAGTGCCTCTTCATGCCATCTGGCGTAGCTAACCAAACACGTGTATTCTCCGTTATCTGACACCCGCACATCTTCCAGTCTGAGAGACACATTGCCATTGATAAACTCCTCTACAAACAGTATTGTTCTGTGTCTGTAGGCTTCATCCTGTTTCCCCAGGTGATCACGTCCCTCACTATATAAGTACACAGGGGATTCATACCTTGTCCTGAACCATCTCACCTCCACACCCTCTCGTGGCAGGTCTGTGGAACACTTACAGTCCAGGACAACATCCGAACCAGCAATGGCTGGGACAGGGAGGGCCGGGCCACTGACTGTGAATCTCTCTGTTCAATAACAAACAACGGATACAGTTAGGATTTTCAGTCACACTGACTCAGACAAACTCTGCCAATAGACACTCACTGAGATATCAATAATCCTTGCATTCAAAATGGCACCTTATAGATAATTATTTGGAGAGGACAAGTTTGCAGGGCTATGGGGAGAGCGCAGGGGAGTAGGGTTGATTTGGACAGCTCTTTTTAAAGAGTCGACACAGACACGATGGGCCGAATAGCCACCTTCTGGGCTGTATAATTCTATGATGATTCTATGATTATCATGTTGCAGAGATGTATCAAAGAGCTTCAGAAGATATACTGCAAAGCGCTGTGAATGTATATTTTGTGGGCGAAAGACGGCAAGTGTGTGCAAAGCATTGTCCACAATTAGTCATGAATTGAGTGTCTGAATTTTTTTTGACTAATGAAAGCATGGATGAAGGTTTCAGCAGCCTGAGGAGAGAGATAGTGATGGATCCGGGCAATAATGCGGAGGCGGGGAAGACAGAATGGATAATGTGGGATGATAAAAGACAGTTGAGGGTGACGCAGGTAACCAAGGTTCTGTACTGGTGAAAGTGAAGATGATGGGAAAGGTAAGAACAGAACCAGGCAAGGTCATGAAGGTGGAGCTGACAGGAGAGGAAGTGGAGAAGAATAGAGTGGTCAGCAGTGTGAAAGGCAACGGAGAGATCAAGAAAGATGAGGAGACATAGAGAGTCCTGGTCGCATAAAGACAGAATGTCATTTGTAACTGTGACCCTGTACCATGGGCAGAAACCAGATTGGAAAGGTTCTCCATTTACCTTCAGCAATTTAACACCAACAGAAATCAAAGAGATTCAATGTGTTTCCTTACCAGCTAGTGAGAGGGGAAGCACAAACCATAGGACCTGAATACAGTGTTTCCAGCTCATCCTCTCGGACCTTCACAATGAGATCACAACTGGTTACAACACAGCAAATCAGATCATTACACACAGAGATTTGTGATCAAATATAATTAATAAAATATAAAACATAATTAATAATTATTTGATTTCCAACATGTTCTTTGCATTTACACACACAGCAGAACAAACTGCCTTCTCTGTTGGAATAGTGATGTGGGATCTTTAACTGTGATAGTGAGGCCCCCCCTGGCCCTGCACTGGGGGTCTCCATGAGGTGGTTTGGGGAAGAAACATGTTATGTGTAACTGCTGTAATGTGCTCCTGCCCTCCCTCTCCTCATAGCCGCTCCTTATTCACCCCAACAAGGTGCAGGTCAGAGAGGAGCTCCCATTCCCTTCCCTCCTCACTTGCCTCTAATTCTCAGCATTTAAACAACAAATTGGAAATAAACTGACTGCAGAGCTCCCATTGTACTATTGACACAAACCTGACAATAGAGAACATTTATTTCACACTATCTGTACCTGTTGCAGCTTTGCTGGTAACCAAAGGATCCAATATGGAATGCAGATTTCAGCGTTACCATCACATTTGAAATGCCATAAACACTGTATGTACACCTTAAGCAAAACTGCCATACATCTGTGATAATAATAATCCTTACATTTCACGTCTTCTAGACGTCTCAAAGCGCTTCACAGAATAGACTGTAAAATGAATTGATTGTATGTATTTGTGAGCGAAATGCAGCAGCCAATTGCGCACAGCAGTGTCCCACAAACAGTAGTGGATTGAAAATGACCAATTTATTATTATTTTTTTCTTGAGGGATTATTATCAGGCGTGTGGAGTAAGGAAACTTGCCCAAGGTTTCACTCTGCCGGGAATTGAACCCAACTCTCTCACTTGCAAAATGAGTGCTCTAACCACTGAGCTACAGGACTCCGCACTTGGTGTGGTTGTTTAGGTCATAGCTCATCAACGATAGGAGATGCCCCCAAAAATATACCCATGACATTCCCCCATGCAAGACCTTTCTGATGAGGTACAAATCTTGTCTCCATATCAATGCGTTATTGGCAGACAGATAGACATTATTATTATTATTGTTACTACAGACAGACGTTTTGCCTTCATTAGGATACATAGATGTATTTCTCTAGAAGGCTGTATGATTTCTTGTCGCTATTTTGTTGCAGAATACTTATTTTGCGGGTTAATTAAAGCATTTTTCAATATAGATCAATGATAGGAGTTCCCTCCAAAAAATATGCAATGACACTCCCCCTTGCAAGAACTTTGCAATGAGGTATAAATCATGTCTCTACGTCAATCATTTATTGTGTTCTTGGTGGATACACAGACAGACATTTTGTTTTTATTGGTATAGAATTAAACTCCACACCACACATAAAACTGAAACCAGTGAACTTTATAACTGAAATAAGAGTAAAGTTAAGTCATTATTTTGATGCTAAAATAATAGTTCATTTCAGGAAACAATTTCTGACACTTACCTATTTAGGTTTTGCATCGAAAATGAAAAGTGTGTTCGGGATAGTGATGTCCAGAGTCTAATCCTGCTTTCGGTTTCTGTGGGAATCGCATTACAGGCACACAAACAGGGAAAGGGCAGTTCAAATATTCCCAACAATTTAGAGTGGGAAAAGTCCTGCGATTTTCACCATTAATGTTGATTGTTGCTCATCACTTGCTGTCAGTAACTAACATTCCTGCTCTGAGACCCTGGTTACACCCTCACGTTTCCCTGGAATAATCTTCAATCCACAGAAAACGTCCCACGTGATTGATTTCCAGGTTAATGTGTAACAGATCTGTATGGTTGAAGGAGATTGCTGAGGTTGGGAGGGGAGAGACTGAGGTGAAACCATGATCTGGAACTCAATCAGCTGGGGGTGGGGAGCCAGGGAGCTGAGCTGAGATAGATTGATAGGTTGGCGCAGCCTGGAATGGGGGAGGACATAGGTGCAGGTATTAACAACACCGTGACCATCTCTATATGATCAAGGTTGAATCAAAAACCTAGGTCTATTAAAACAGCACTTGATGTTGTCAAAGAAACTGAATTTTTAAAAACAGAATGTAATCTATTGTAAACATAACAAGTTCACAATTCCTGTTTCAACGCACTTTATTTACAGGCAGTTATACTGTGTCCCCGCTCTGTCAGCCTGTATCTACAGGATGATGAGCTGATACCTATATTTCCTCCCAGATTCCACACAGCGTACAAATACATATGCACAAGAACAACTCGATGTAGTGACCTTCATGCGGTGCAGCATCCCAGAGCACTGCACAGTGGCGGGGTCTGACAATGAGCCAGGGGGAAAGGGAGAGGGGAGGTGACCAAAAGTAAGATCAAAAAGAAACGTTTTTAGGTGGGGGATTTCAAGGTGGGGAGGGAGGGAGGGAGGGAGCCTGGTGGAGGGATGGAGGGAGAGAGTTCCAGAGTCTAGTGGTTGAAGGCACGGCCATTGATGGGGGAACGGAGCGCACGATGGGACAGATAGGTTGGAGACAGCCGAGCGAAGGCAGTGGGTGGTGGAATGTGGGGTAAGCAGGTCAGATAGGTGGGGAAGTGCACGGGAATGAAATTATTTGAAAACAAATGAGAGGATCTTGAAATCAATCCATTCGGTGGTTGGGAGCCAGTGGATCCTGGCGAGGACTGGTGTGGTACAGAGTTTCGTGGGGGTGAGTATCTGGGAAGGGGAGTCTGAATAAATGGTATGTGTGTACGGTGGAGTTGGGCAGATCAGAGGGCCATTAGAATAGACCCGCTTGGAAGTGATGAAGGTGTGGAGGAGGGACTCAGCTGCGTCAGATGTGCGGTACAGATGGAGGAGGGCGATGTGGCAGAGGTGGATATCGGCGATCTGGTCAGGGAATCGATGTGCGGTGGGAAGGAAGCACAGGTGCGATGCCGACTGCTGGCAAACACCACCCCCTCTCTGAAGTGGGTGCGGGCGGTAACACAATAACAACCTTTGTGTTTGATAGGAAGGAGCAACGGGAAAGCTTCGGTTACTCTGAAGGCCTTCAGCCTGAAATGACCGCCAGGACCGCGGCTCCTAATAAGCGGCAGTGACCAACGATGGGACAGTGCGTGTGTGGAGTTGTGCCACAGCCTTTGTGCGGCTTCTCTTCCCCGTTTCCCGCCTTCAGCGGCTCCCACCGGTGTGTGGAGTGTGTGGTGTCGGTGTGCGGTCACTGTGTGTGTGTGTGTTGGGGTCCGGGGGGGGAGCGCGGGGTCGGTCCTCCGCTCCTCACTTACCGACTCTCGCGCTCTTCTCGGGTCCTGACGCCCAAAGCGCTGTCACGCGGTGTCGGCACATGCGCACTGTTCCCGCCGTCTCCGTCTCGCGCGGCCCCTCCTTCCCGCGCGTGCGCGCTGTGTCCCGTCTCCAACCGTCACTCGGTCCCGCGCTTTCCCGCCGGGGACCAGACTCGGGAAGGTGCGCATGCGCGGGGGGTGGGCGGGAACATTCCAGAAGCGCCGATTCGTTCCCATTGCCCCAAAAACCCCTTTAACTCCCCCGATCCCTGACACGGTGAGTCCCAGTGTCGACATGAACGCCACTGAGAACCACCGTCAAGGAATCATTGATTATGTAAGGTCTCTACCCCCGGGCAATGGTGACCCTGGAGAGGAAACTGTTAACCAAATTATTAAGTGTATTGGGCTTTATTCCCACTCTATAATTACGTCTTTATTAAATAAACATGCGGAGCAGCTAATCAGGTTGGCCGCACCAGGCATTCCGAAGGTTGGGGGCGGGAGGCCCCCCGCCAGTAATAAACCAATTCAACCCAATAAAAAGCCTAGCGGAGCGAAAAGGGCTGCTAGGCGGAAAGCCTACGCACGAATCCAAAACATTTATAGAAAAAACCGTAGAAAATGTGCCCAGATGTGCCTGGACGGGACATGGTCCGAGGAAACTTCCTCGTCCCTTCCCACTGACACCTACAGTTATTGGGCTAAGATTTTTAATAAACCCTCCTGTTCTGACGACAGGCCTGTGGACCCCCAACGCACTATTTGGGAGCTTGTGCTCCCGATTAGAGAGGAGGAGGTCCGCACCTGCGTCCGTAGTATATCAGTTTCCTCTCCCGGTCCTGACGGAATCACCGTTGGAACCCTCAAATCTCTGCCGTCCCGTTACCTGAGCAAAATGTTCAACTTATGGCTAAATTACTCTTACCTCCCCTTGCCCTTCAGGGCTAATCAAACCACCTTAATCCCCAAGGTTAAGTCCCCAACCGAAGCAGGACAATTCCGTCCCATAACCGTTTCGTCCACTGTTACTAGACTATTTCATAGAATAATTGCAAAAAGATGCTCACAGAGCGTACCATTTAACTCCGCACAAAGAGCGTTCTGCTCGGGTGACGGAACGGCAGAAAACACAACCATCCTCGATTCCGTTTTCCAATATAGTACCTCTAGTTTGTCGCCTCTCTGTGTCGCCTCGCTGGATGCCCACAAAGCGTTTGATTCCGTAAACCATGGCTCGATCTTTCGTGCCATGGAGTTGCGGGGTATCCCCAAGATCCTTAGCGATTACATAGGATCAACCTATGCTAATTGCTTCACTACGATTAAAGGCTGCCCAGGCGAACCGATCCCAATGACGAGGGGGGTGAGGCAGGGAGATCCAATCTCCCCGTTTCTCTTCAATCTCGTCCTGGACGAGATTCTCGACACTATACCATCTGGAATCGGAGCTCGCCTGGGCGGCCAAACCAAAATACCGACTGTTGTGTTTGCGGACGACATCCTGTTATTCGCAACCACACCTTTAGGGTTGCAGACCCTCCTAAATCATGTAACCAACAATTTGGATAAAATTGGGCTAGCAATTAATCCCAGTAAATCAAATTCGTTATCTATTGTCATCGACGGGAAACACAAACGTTATCTCGTCGATGCAACACAAAAATTTACAGTCAAAAACCAGCCACTCAATATATTAACCGCAATAAATTACTTTAAATATCTAGGAATAAATTTCCGTCATCAGGGGAGGGGTGAGTCCGTCGGATCGATTCTGGAACAAGGTATCCAGAACCTGTCCCGGGCTCCCCTAAAACCACAACAGCGAATCTATATGTTTAACAACCATCTTATTCCCAAATTGCAATACCGTTTAGTTTTGGGACGTTGGACAAGTAAACGCCTCAAGACCATGGATCTGCAAACTCGAGCGGCTGTCCGTAGGTGGTTAAGGCTGCCCAGGGACACGCCGACGAGTTACTTTCATGCTGCGGTACAGGACGGGGGTCTGGGCATTCCATGCCTGAGAACCTCCATTCCTGTACTAACAACCAATCGGTTAAACCACCTACTGCAATCCGGCTCGGCGGCAGTTAGAGAGGCGACAAACACCGCCTCCTTCCGGAAACGAATTCTGGACGGAACACGCGCGGGGAATTTCGCTGGCGAAACTCTCCATTGCACTAAGTCGGCGCGTAATATCTGGGCCCGGTTACTGCACGAACAGTCTGTCGACGGGAAAGGGCTCAGTAGTAACAACTTAGTCCCCGGATATCAAAATTGGGTGTCTGGGGGCTCGGGAGTCCTGACCGGTCGATCGTACATCGACTGCGTGCAGATCCGTGGCAACCTGCTCCCCACGGCAAGTCGCCGTGCAAGGGGCAGGAGTGAAGCCGATCCCTGGTGCGACGGAGGGTGTAGTTCCCGGGAAACCCTAGCCCACATCTCCCAGTCGTGCTTTCGCACCCATTCCATTCGTGTGCGAAGACACGACCAGGTCTGTAAGTACGTAGCCCAAAAGCTGGGGAGAAGGGGCTTCCGAGTAATATCGGAGCCCGCGATCCCCACGCCAGCGGGCATACGTAAACCGGACTTAATAGTCCACAAGAACCATTATACATGGGTCTTGGACAGCCAAATAGTGGCTGACAATGCCAATCTGGATGCCGCCCATAGTAATAAAGTCACCTATTATAATACCCCCGCCATCAGGAGTTGGGTCAACCAGACCTTCCCTGATTCTAGTGGCACCACGTTCTCCTCAATAACCCTCAATTGGAGGGGAGCATGGTGCCCTAAATCTGTCTTATCCCTTGGGGAGTTGGGTTTGACCAAAAGAGACTTAGAATTAATATCTCTCCGGGTGCTTGAGTATACTCATTATGCCTATAAGGTATTTAGGAAAAGCACGGAGCGTTTGGGACGTGGGGACCGTGGAGCCCGCAGGACAAGGTGAAGCATGGAAGGAAACAACCATGTGGAGCTCCCGATGCCAGGACACGGTTAGTATCTGGTTAAAGCCCTCCAGGATAAAAAAGGTGCGAATTTGGCTTCCAATTAGGCTACAAATTTAAGAGCACGTTTATGATTCGGCACGGCACTATGATGAATCGTAGGTACCGAACCATATACTGTTCGAAAATCTTAGTCTGAGTGCCGAAAAAAGCAGAAAAGCGCTCGAGCGACGGTCCCTCTGACACCTCCGCCCCAACTGGTGAGAATATGGTATAAAGTCACTATAGTCAACAGCAATGGCACATATACTGTTATATACATTACATATTCAGTGGGAAATCCTTCCATTGAAGATCAAATCACTTATTGTATTTAATGACATTAAATACATTATTATTATCTGTGACTATCAACAGTTTCACATCAAAGGGGTTTTCTACACCAACACCGAGATTCCCAACTCGGCGGCCGTGTGGCCATGAGCCCCGGGGGGTGAGGGTCAGGGGGTGAGGGTCAGGGGGGGAGGGTCAGGGGGTGAGGGTCAGGGGTGTGTGTGTCGGGGTGAGGGTCAGGGGTGTGTGTGTCAGGGGGTGAGGGTCAGGGGTGTGGGTGTCGGGGTGAGGGTCAGGGGTTTGTGTGTCAGGGGGTGAGGGTCTGGGGTGTGTGTGTCGGGGTGAGGGTTAGGGGTGTATGTGTCGGGGTGAGGGTTAGGGTTGTGTGTGTCAGGGGGTGAGGGTCAGAGGTGTGTGTGTCGGGGTGAGGGTCAGGGGTGTGTGTGTCAGGGGGTGAGGGTCAGGGGTGTGTGTATCGGGGTGAGGGTTAGGGGTGTGTGTGTCGGGGGGTGAGGGTTAGGGGTGTGTGTGTCAGGGGGTGAGGGTCAGGGGTGTGTGTGTCAGGGGGTGAGGGTCAGGGGATGTGTGTCGGGGTGAGGGTTAGGGGTGTGTGTGTCAGGGGGTGAGGGTTAGGGGTGTGTGTGTCAGGGGGTGAGGGTCAGGGGTGTGTGTGTCGGGGTGAGGGTCGGGTGTGTATGTCGGGGTGAGGGTTAGGGGTATGTGTCTCGGGGTGAAGGTTAGGGGTGTGTGTGTCGGGGTGTGAGGTTTAGGGTTTGTGTGTCAGGGGGTGAGGGTTAGGGGTGTGTATCAGGGGGTGAGGGTTTGGGGTGTGTGTGTCAGGGGGTGAGGGTTAGGGGTGTGTGTCGGGGTGAGGGTTAAGGGTGTGTGTATCAGGTGAGGGTTAGGGGTATGTGTGTCGGGGTAAGGGTTAGGGGTGTGTGTGTCGGGGTGAGGGGCAGGGTGGTGTGTGTCAGGGGGTGAGGGTTAGGGGTGTGTATCAGGGGGTGAGGGTTAGGGGTGTGTGTGTCAGGGGGTGAGGGTTAGGGGTGTGTATCAGGGGGTGAGGGTTTGGGGTGTGTGTGTCAGGGGGTGAGGGTTAGGGATGTGTGTGTCGGGGTGAGGGTTAAGGGTGTGTGTATCAGGTGAGGGTTAGGGGTATGTGTGTCGGGGTAAGGGTTAGGGGTGTGTGTGTCGCGGTGAGGGGCAGGGGGGTGTGTGTCGGGGTGAGGGGCAGGGTGGTGTGTGTTAGGGGGTGAGGGTTAGGGGTGTGTATCGGGGTGAGGGTTAGGTGTGTGTGTATCATGGGGTGAGGGTTTGGGGTGTGTGTATATCAGAGGGTTGGGGAGCTGGGGGGATTCCACTCATCTCGAACTTGCCCAGGAGATTTTAGTCCTTGGTCACTGCTCTCTTGCCCTCATGCACTTACTCCAATATGCCGGGCTGGTTGTCGGAGTAGGCGTTGAAACCCTGGGTCTGTTTGGTTAGGTTGGTGGAGTTCCTCTTCATGAGGGTGGTCATCACACCTTGCATTTGATATTGCGTCTTATCTTGTCTTCGAGTCCTCTCAAAACACTTCACAGAATATAACAACAACAACTTGGATTTATATTGCGCCCTCCATGCCTGATGGCGTCTCAGAGCACTTTACAGTAACGAATCCCAGGACCGAGCCAATGGGAGGGGGAGGAAGGTGACCAAAGGCATGGTCGAAAAGAAAGGTCTTCAGCAGAGATCTGAAAATAGG